GGAAAAACTAGAGAGTACGTGGCGCGAAGCGACACTCACACCCTTGTTTACTTTAATAAAATGACTTACGAGACGGAATTGAGGTGGCTGCTTTGAGCACCGATTGCGAGTGCGTTTTGGCACGAAAGCGAGGACTGCTGCTGGCGGCACTTTTGTTCGCCTTGCCAGCACTTGATTTGCCCAGAAACGACTCTGTGCTGCTGCGGGCGATGGAGGTGGAAGGACCCGAATGCTGTTGCCGTTGTTCTCCCTTATTATCATCATTTCCAATCTGCAGTATCTTGTCAAACTCACTCATTCTAAGGAGCGAAAAAATATCATTATCAGAAGACTGTATTTCAGTCTCGTTATTCTCACAGGATGCTCTCTTCGGCAGTGCGAGCAGCCCCTTCAGCGGACTTGTTGGTAGTGGCAAAGGAGCGCTTGCCAAAAGAGGAGGAAGCAGCAGTGGTGGAAGAGGAGGTGGACGTGCTGGAGGTGCACTGCAATTCCTTCAGGTATGCCTTCTTTGTGGTGGTGGAGGAGGTGCTGGTAGAAATTGTGCCCGCTGCAGCTCCACCGATGCTTACCGCAAAACTGTCGTCTTTTGTCAGGTTGCTGCTTTGCTGTTGATCAGTTGTGCGCGTCATCGATCTGGTGATGGCCACCGTCTGCTCGCCCGTCTGCTCTGCCTGCTTCAGCAAGTTGGCACTGCGCAGAATGTCCTCGTGCGCCTTGGTGGTGGCACTGTCGCAGGAGTTGTCCGTTGTTCGGTCGTCCTCCAGACCAGGGTAGAAGACCTGGCGAGTCTTCACCTTTCGCCGGCAGTTGAGGCGAGAGCGAAAGTCCTGCAGACTTTCATTGTTGGCCGTACTACTGCTCTGTTGGCTGTGGCTGCCACCCTGCAACAGTTCGCTGTGCGCCGGCGAGCGCTCCAGGTGGTTGATCTCATTCAGGTCTTTTACTGTGTGTGTGGGTAGGGAGAGGGTGAGAGAATGGGAACGGTTCAGTTGATCAGAATCAGTGTCAGCGGTACCACCCGGTTTGGCGGGAAGAAGTGGTGTAGTTACGTATGCAGTGGTACGATCGAGACGTGGCGCCGTACGAGTGGCACGACTCGGAGGAGCTGCCTCGTGAGAAGGAGGAGGACAGCTCTTCGGCGTGCTCCAGCTTGAAGTCATCAGAGCCACTGTCGCTGGTGGTGTCGCTGGATCGGCGAAAGGGCACGAACTGGCAGTGGGAAGGGAGGAAAAGAGGCAAAAGTAGGGCAAAATGAAGCATCAACCGAAAGGCTTGGGCGCTGGCGAAGTTGGGCAGTGCTGCCGCCACACTTACTCGGGTGGCCGAAAGGCTCTTCTGCAGTCCATCTTGCTTGGTCTTCTCAAAGTACTTCTGACAGGGCGACCGCTTCGACGAATGGAAGCCACTCATCATTGCTGTCCACTGGCCTCACTCGGCGGTGATCTAAAGTCCACAGCGGCTGGGCGCACACCCCGACAGCGTCTCGGCTTTAGGTCGTCAGGTTTGCAAGTAGCCACATCACATCACTGCTGCCTCGCCAAACACAATTTTTTCTTTGCCGTACACACAAACAGACTTAGCGGTGGATTGGGCGATGAAGATGGCAGTCTCCTGCACCACCACCACCACAGCCCTGCTCAGCCCTGCTCAGCATCTGCCCTACTGCTGCAGAATGCACCCAGAGCACAAGATGAGCTGCATTCTGCAGTACGATCATCCCTCGCCCTAAAATAGACGCCCATCAGGCTTCCTACTGCAGCAGTGTGCAGATTCTCTGCATGCGTCTCACGCTGTGTGTTCTACTTTGGCGCCTTCTTCTCTGCTCGACGCCTGCAGCTGTTGCGATGCTGTTTTCTAACGCGCCCGAAGTAGGTGCTATTTATATGCACTCTCGATGGATCGATCACAGCGGCACTTGCAACAGCTGCAGCATCAGCAGCAGCATCAGTCTGTTGGCAGCTTTCGGGACTACTTCAGAGAAAGAGGAGTCACAGGACACAACCATTCATCGTTCAGGTCAGTCTTTTTGGCTGAACACCGACTCGATGGGCCATTGATACCGGCAGTGAGGAGGTGATGACGAGTGCCAGCTGGCAATGGACGGCACATTTTCAAATGCCATCGTTCAGAGATGTGTTGAGACACAGAGCGGCATAGATGGCGCCCGAGTCTCATCGTCTGTTCCGGGGACGGGATATTGCCGATTGCTCGGCACTGTCGTAGTGGCAGCACCACTCTGCTCTGCACTGCCAAGGGTACCACTGTGCAAAGCCAATGAGTCAGTTGCAGGCAACCTGGCAGCTGTTTCGGTGCAATCGAATGTGGTGCTGCCACTACGACAAAAGCGAGTCATTAAGAAATTTCCTGCACCATAGTCGTTGGCTGTTGGTGTGCAAGAAATGAAATCCGTCTGCTTGTGCTGTGTGCAGCAGAGGCAGCAGCAGCAGTGCAGCTTCATTTGCCAGTTATCCTCGGCGGCAGAGTGTGTGTGCTGTGTGCAGTGGATCGATCATTCGCCACCAACATTCGGCCCATTCTGTGTTCACGTCGCATTTCGGTGCATTCTCATTCTCTCTTTCTTTTCCTCTGCCGCTCCATTCCTCGGGCACCACATTTTGATTGTGTGAGCAGACACCACCGCAGCTCCCACTGGCAGCCGTCAACACAGTCCAACTGCTGTTTGCGCTGCCAAGTGTCCGTCTTCACTCATTTCATTTGATTGCCCCCGACTGTGTGTGTGTGTGTGTGTTGTTCCAAGCACTACTCTCCTCGGTTGCAAGCTCATAAAGTAGCGCTCTTCCGACACCACCACCATACTCTACACTCTACCAAAGACCGCCAATGCTCACTTGCCACTTTGCCTTCTTCACTGGCTGCGACACTTTCAACTTGTAATTACATAAAATGGATCTAATTGCTTTCTCGTAAGGCCTTCACCGGAGAAGCCTTCAACTCTGCCATTGCCGATCCATGAATCACCCTCATTCCCGACACTACCAAAAGCCAGTGAGTCACCCATTGCTCTACCTGCTCACACAACCCACCGCGGTCACTACACTTGAAAATGCAAACTTGGTGACTTGATCAGCTTGAGCCAGTTTCCACGACCACCACCACAGCCATCAACCATGTCTAGCCAAAAGGAGCCTCAACTCGCCCAGTCTCCAGCTTCTCAACAGCCTTATGCAACGTAAGTAGCATGTACTCGGTTGACATGGCAATTAGAAGCTTCTGATTCAGATCAAGTCCATCTGTCAGAAAGCGGTAGTTCAATGTCATCAGATGATGATGAATTTAACATCATCTTTGAGGATTATTATCTGAAAACCTGTTGTGCTGTTCGCATCTCTAATCGTAGGCAAACAAATTGCCGCTTTTAAAGCGTAAATGTGAATGCGCTTTTAAGAATGTTTACAATTTGCATTAGCGTTGAGTGCAGAAAAAAGGTGCCAGAACTGAGCGAAGCAAAACGATGATTGAAGGGGGCCGAGAATGGTTGGTCAAATTCAACCGTCGACGGCCCTTTCAAGCATCACCGACCATCGCTCTATCAGTCAACTAACTTTGCATAATAAAATTGGCGTATCCATTGTGCACAACAAATCTTTGATTTTCATCTCCTCGAACGCCACTTCAATAGCCAACAGAGGACTGACCAATCTCTTTTGTGGCGCTCTTCCTGCCGCACAAACACTACATTGAGCAACAGCGTGTGTTTCATCNATCCATTGTGCACAATCGATTTTTGATTTTCTTCTCCTCGAACGTCACTTCAATAGCCAACAGAGGACTGACCAATCTCTTTTGTGGTGCTCTTCCTGCCGCACAAACACTACATTGAGCAACAGCGTGTGTTTCATCCTGTGCTTCTAAGTGGGCTCTATTATTAGCAGAGACCAGTTGTCGCCTTTCTCTTGGTGCCATCATCATTACCAATGTCTAGACAATTAATGACACATCAACCTTTTGCCAATTGACGAGTTCATAATTTTTGTTACGCTTTGTTTTGGTAATCTTTAGTGCGACTAGGAATTTTCAAACTATACAAGGGCTCAGTTACGCTCGCTTCGCTCGCCACTAACTATTTTACTGTTTATCAGTTTTTAAAATAAAAAAGGGCTCAGTAGCTNAATATCTGTCTAGATACTGCCGTAGATAAATAATTTTTGCACCCTTGCGCCACATTTTTCCATCTTTTAAGTGTATTACGTTTTCTACTATCATTACTCACAGTAGCCGTGCTCTTTAAATGCGATCTATTTACCCACAAAAAATACGATAAGACAGTTGTAGTAGGTTTTCTTTGCACATCACTCTCTGCCCGCATTGTCAGCATTTGGAAAGCATCTCTTTTTCTCCAGTTTGACCGTTTGCGAACTAAATAATGATTTCCCTCTTTGCAGCGGAATGAGTCCGTATCGATAGGAGGTTAATGGCCATCAGTTTTTGACTTCTGATGTGTTCTGTTCACCAGCTAACTAGCAAACTGGACACATAATTGACTGCCATTGTGCTGTCTGCTGAAATCATTCTAAGAATTTCTAGCTAGGGCAAATGAAAAATGAGTTTCCTTCTCCCATGACTAGCACTAACATGGCAAAGAGTGAACATTTGGCACTCATTTGTTTATTTGTCCTGTGACGGTCGTTAGCGCGCACGCAGCACAATCAATGATTGATGTGATCTTCCGAAACTGTAGGCTGCTGCTGTTGTTTTTGCGGCTGCCTTCCTCTTCCAGCTATTGATTACTGCCTTCTGGCAGACCACTAATTGAGATGCAAAGACGACAATTGAATTTGTGATGGTGGTGGCGGCGGTGGTGGCCACTTGTGCGGCCAGCAACTTTGGGGGGACACCGGTTGCAGCGCAGCCTTCTTGGTGCACCGCACGATTGCTGTGGCCCACACTTCGGGAGCAAACTTGACCCGAAGAAACTTGCCGTCACGGCCTGGCATACCGTAGAACTCGATTAATTGTTGGCCAGTGCTTTGTTTGTGCATTTGAGTGGATGCGGTAGTGGTGGTGGCGATGCCCTTTATTAACACTGATGGTGTGTGCCTTAATTAGCCTCTTTGCGCTGAGCACTCTCCTCGGCAGCTTGGCGTACAGTCAAAAGAAGTTTCTCTCTCTTTCTCTCTAAATGGAAGAAATTGCCAGCAGTAAACTCAGCGAGTAGTTGGGTGTTTTTAAAGGCTCTGACGTTGGCCAATTCTTTCTCGGCAGCCTATTATTTCTTTGCATTTATGTATTATTTTATTTTGCTTCTAATTACGTCCCGTTCAATATTGCCTGGGTGTGGGCACACATTGCTTGCTTCACTAGCACCCAGTAGCACGTAGTATTCACTATCTCACTCTTTTGGTCTCTCTTCTCCTGACGGAAGTGCAGAGACGGCGGCGGCAGCGGCAGAGTCAGCTTTATTGCCACCAGACACTGTTATCACGCACATAGGAGCTGCCGTGTGTTTGTCTGTGCCGTCCATTCGCCCACGTCCTGGTCCTCTATTGGTCCGGCCATTAGGCAAATCAGTGCGATCCACTGGCAGCAGCAGCTGGTTCACATCAAACTGCTGTGATTTTATTGGTCATGGTCGTGGTTTGTGTGCGCTCGCAGTTTATCAACTGCTTGCCCTCTACTGCTCACTTTGTGTGAATCTTATTTATTTATTGATTCAGACATGGCAAATCAAATTGCCGTCTTTTTCTTCTTCTTTGATTGTCTCTTTTTCACTGACTCTTTTGGACAGTTTTTAATTAACAGTCGTGATTAGGACATTTCTAACGCCCTGCTGGTTGGTAGTATGGCTGCTTAAAATTATATTGCTTGATTTTTTGTATTGACTTCAGGCAGGATCGATCACGATTTTGTTGGTGCAAAAAAGAAAGAAAGCAAAATGGTCACAGTTTGCGAATGCGCTTACTGCTTGTAGATGGCATCTCCTTCCTGTTGGTTGCATCTGTTTACATCACTTGCCGACAGAGATCTATCAGAATCGACTGGCACGTTTATGCTGGCGCATCATTGGGCGGCATCTTTGCCATTACCACTGCTGGGCAATTGCCAATTGGCCGATGGTTTTGATGCAGGTTGCGACACCGATTTTTACGAACAAATACGGGCGAGCTCGAGACTCGCCTAACAGCTGATTAGGAGACTTAATTCCAAGAAGTCAGCAGTGTTTGGTGGTGGCAGCAGCAGTAGTAGTCAGTCACCTGACTGCGCTTAACTGAGCACTCAGGTGATGCAATCTAATCGTCACTCTCTCATGTAATTTATTCGGACTAGCGCGTTCTCCTTTCACATAAGCTGCAGACTGTGTGTGTGCACTGTGCAGTGGCCGTTCAATGTAGCAAAGTTGCTTTTGCTCTCGCTGCTGCTGAAGTACAACTGCTGAAGCCGTTGCAGCAGTCGTAGTCCTGCGCCACACCAGTCCTCGTGACAACTTTACACAGGTTGTAGGCTAGCTTTTCAGTCTATTTTCTGGCGGTGTCTGCAGCTCTTGAACTTGTTGTCTAACTGTATGTGTACATAGAGAGAGCATTTGCTATCGTTGGCTATTGATGAAAACCTGGCACACACAGTCTGTTGCGTTGTTGTTTTCAAATGGGCTCACTCGTTAGTGCGCATCGCCTTTCGTTAGCTAGCTCCGCCAACATTACCACCACCACCTCCACCATCAAGCATATCTTTTGTCTTCTGCTGAGCTGCTTGCTGCCTTTGCGGGACACTTTGTGCGCACCGTGAGAGATAAGAGGTGATGGAGCACACAGCTGAGCTGTACCGTGCAACTGCTGCTGCTGCTGTCTTCGAGGAGGCCTTGAGCCAGTCGTCGCCATTCATTCATTGCCGCAGCACAGTGCCAAGTGCCACTTCTTTGTTTTGAGTAGAAAACACCACCACCAAGGAAAAGAGTTGTCAGTGTGCGCTCGTGGTGCTCTTGCTTTCCTCTTTTTGAAGATGCTGATTATGGTTCAGTTCTGCAGGCACATCATTCTCCCCACAGCTTCACCATTCTCTGAGACCAGTGTTTGTCCTCAGTTCATGGGTTTCTTCGCTGGCCAGTGACCAGTCGCCTATTGTCGCCATTTACTTACTGCACACTTTTACTACTAAACCTGTTGCGGCTGAACGCATACTGGACTCACCTTTGAGCGCTTGTTTCGCGCTCACAGAGACACACTTACACAGCTCTGACTGACTGACTGACGTGAACGCTGGCTGAAGTGCACCGAGAGTATTCTTCCGAGACGAGCTTGGCTTTTTCTGCGACTCGTGTGTGTGTGTGTTGATCGACTTGCCTCAATGTGAATGTCCTGGCCACCACCACCACCACCACCACCATTGCTGTTGCTGCGTGTCCAAATAAGTGCATCTCGTGTTTTGTGCTCTTTCTACTCCCTCTTCCTCTCTTCCTCGTGCTGGCTTCTGCTGGCTCCAATCAATCACTCGTACTAGGGGCCATCAGCACCACCAGCACCACCACAGCAGCACTATCTGAGCATCATTCCTGCTCAAATTGGCCTGCAATTGCATGCCATGATTGCGAGCTATACTGGAACTGTGCAAAGCACTGTGCCCTTTAAAATACTATAAACATGGATCGACTAAACTATTACGACGTTCTTCACTATGCTCTGCAGTAAGTGCGCTCTGCCACTTTCACACACACGCACACACTTGCTCTTGGTGCAACTCAAACCACAGATCATCACTTTTTGTTTGCTCTGTGAATCACTAGTACAATTTCTCGCAATGAAACTAACTCCTTTTCTTCTTCAATTGACTCTTTTATTTACATTTGCAGTACTGAGCTCAACAAAGGCATGACATCGTCAACGCTCGTGGAGACGGTGTCCATCAACTACGAGGACTTTACGGAGGGATTCCTCACCTGCGGGACGTGCCTCTACACCTACGACAGTGACGAGCACACGCCGAAGCTGTTGCCCTGTTCGCACACCCTCTGTCGAGTATGTCTGCAGAGCATTGCCGCCAATGCCGGTGCCCGAGACCCGACGACCAACTGCTTCCGCTGTCCCATCTGCCGTGAGCTGATTCAGCTGCCTCGAGGCGGCGTCATGGGCTTTCCGCCCTCCTTTCTGGTCAACCAGCTGCTGGATCTGATGGCCGGACAGCGCCGGGAGGTGGTGCCCAAGTGTTCCAGTCACGTCAACCAAGAGCTTCTATTCTGTGAATCCTGTGATTTTGTATTTTGCAGTCAGTGTACGGGGGGAAAGCACGGCAATCCTATCAACAACAATGGAGTCGCCTGCGAACACAACGTATGTACATACATTTGCTGAATGCTAAACAATCTCTCTGACTGTCCAATAACCTCAATGACTTGACTCTTTTTCTCTTTCTTTTCCTGTTTTCAGGTGATACCGTTTTCCATTGCTATAAAACGGATGAGTGAAATTCTCCTGTACAAGGGCCAGCAATGCATCAGCAAACTTAACGAGTCGGCTCAAAATGTACTTAATGAAATGGCAAAGCTGGACCAGAACTCTGAGCTTGCCTTCGAGGACATTAATCGAACCTTTCAGGAGATTATCAACGTCGTTGATCAGCGGCGCCAGGAGTTACTTAACAGCGCCAAGAAGATTCGCGAGGACAAGCGGGCAGTGCTGCGAGAGCAGCTGAACACCATTGAAATTGAAAAGTCCAAGCTGGAGGCGGACTGCAGCGGCTTCAAGTACCAGGTTGAGGTGCGAAACATCAGCAAGAAGATAAACGACCTGAAGGACCAGCTGGAGTCGATCAACACGATGCTCGACCCGAAGGAGAACTGCTTTCTGCGCTTTGAGCACCTGCACAACTCGGCCATTGAGAGCATTGAGAAGTGCGTGAACAGCTTCGGCAGCATTCGCACCAGCAACACCTTTCCCTCGCTGTGCATGGCCACCGTCGGGCGCTGTTCGGCGCATCTGCGCTCCTGTGCGTACGTCGTCACCTACGACTACAACGGCCAGAGGCAGAAGTTTGGCGGCGATCCGCTGGCGGTGACGCTGCTGCACGACCAGTCGCAGCAGAGCGTCCCCTGGCAGGTGAACGACAACCGCGACGGCACCTACGAGGTCCAGTTCGTGCCCCCGCTCGCCGGCACCTACACCCTGCGCATCAGCATCTTCGGGCGGCAGATCAAGAGCTACCCGCTGCAGTTTGAGGTCTCGGAGAGCATCAACCCGCTGTGCATCTACGGCTGCAAGGGCTCCGACGTGCACCAGTTTCTGCAGCCCACTAGTCTCGCCATCGACGACACCGACGGCTCCGTCTACGTCCTCGACACCGGCAACGGGCGCATCAAGAAGCTGCTGCAGAACCAGTGCAATAACTCGCCCTTTCGACTCATCGACCACATCGAGGGCGGCGGGCTGGAGAACCGGGCCGCCACCGGCATCGCCCACTGCCGCCAATCTCACTCTCTACTAGTCACCAACTGGCGCAACCGAGACGTCAAGCGGTACAGCTGTGATGGCCAGTTCCTCGGCAAGTTCGGCCACGAGGACCTGCTCGAGCCGACGTGCATCGCCGTCAGCCACTCTGGTCAGATTTTGGTCGCCGACAACGGCTCCAACTGTCTCTTTCTCTTCAACGCCAGCGGAAAGCTGCTCCTGAAGATCAACGATAAGAAGGATAAGACGAAGGGCAGTGCCGTGCAGAAGTGGCCGCTGCTCGGTGTCATCGGCGGCATCTGCTTCAACCCTGCCACGGAGGAGATAATCGTCGCCGATACTCGAATCAACGTCTTCTCCGCCTCTACGGGTCTCTTTCAACGGCAGCTTTACGCGGAGAGCAGCAACAATAACGGCCGAGGCAAAGGGCACTACTGCGGCGTGACCATGGACAACAATGGAAACGTCTTGGCGACGCGCGTCGATAAGAGTCGCAACGTCGTCCAGGTGATAGACTACGATTCAGGTCAGCTCAAGTTTGTCATTGACAGCAACGATGCCAAGCTGAAGCGACCCAGCTGCCTGGCAACGACAAATGATGATCACGTGATTGTCGTAGATCTGGGCAATGACTGCATCAAAAAGTATCGCTACGGATAAACCGTTGCGACCACCACTTCAGCCACCACCACCACCGCTTTCATCACCGCCACCTTCCCCATCACCACCATCTCAATCACTACGATTTGTTTTTGGCGTGCACCCGAACCTGCACCTCAGCAGTGTGTAGCACACGATCCATTCCTCTTTGGAACCATGTTTTTTGTTTTCTCTGTCTTTGTGTCTCAAAGTTGCGTTTTCACTTTGCTTAGCTGATGATCATCCGAACTGTTGCAGCACACGGTTGTCTTTACTGACCAATACGCAATGCCTTCTTCTTCTTTCCTTAATAAATGCAAATGCAAATCTGAGCTGAATGTTATCAGAAAAGACTGAGGAGTACTCTTGTTGTCTGCTAATCTAATCGGTCACAGTTGCACACTGCCACTTGCACCCATGTGAGAGAGCAGTAAGCATTTCAGGATTGTTCGTAGTGACCGGCAAGTCACTACGGCCGATCACAGTGTGCACTTGCGAACTGCCACTGAACGCAAAGTGGAAGTGCTAGTAAAAGAAGACGGTCTTTGTGCCTTGCACTGGGTATGCCTGCACACCAGCACATCATCACAACAGAGTGACGATCAGAGTGATGCTGCCCACTGACCAGAACGNATCACGACAGAGTGACGATCAGAGTGATGCTGCCCACTGACCAGAACGGTCAACACCAGCTCAGCGATGGCAAACTTTAAGTTGATGGCGATGACTGGAGGAGACTGGCGGACGGCCTGTGTGCACTCCATGGCGGTGTTTTTCGGCATTTCCTCCTGGATCGCACTGAACGGCGTCTGGGTGGAGGTGCCACTGCTGATAACGACACTGCCCGAGTCATGGCGACTTGCCTCTTTCATCGTTCTCATCACCCAGCTGGCCAATGTTGGCCCGCTGGTGTACTCTCTCCTGAAGCGCCTGGTCGCCGACAAGGTAAGCCACCAACAGCTCACTCCACGTGTCTCTATTGGTAAACTTCCCCCTTTACTTAGGAGTTGATTGAGAGGGTGTCCATTCACGCCATCTTCAGCACCGGTCTGCTTGCCCTCTTCCTGCTGTCCTTCACCTGGGACAGTGTGTGGCCCTGGCTGAGCAGTCAGTACAGCATAACCTTTCTCACCCTCACCTTTCTGTTGGCCTTTGTGGACTGCACCTCCTCTGTCACCTTTCTTCCTTTCATGTCTCGCGTTCCCAGCCAGTTCCTCATATCGCATCTCATCGGACAGGCACTCAGCGGACTGATACCTAGTTTTATTGCCCTCGCTCAAGGTAAGGCTTCTCGCGCCATTGAGAGAACGTTAACCTGTGCTGTCGTGGTGCCAACTAACGCACACTCTATTAATCTCACAGGTGTCGGTGGTGATGCTGAGTGCCAGCTAATCAACGGCACCTCCGTTGCCCAGTATCCAGAGCCACTCTTTCCGGTTCAAGTCTTTTTCCTTCTACTCTGTCCTGTTGTTATTCTCAGCTGGCTAGCCTTTGTCGGCCTCACCAGGCTGGGGAGCCTCTTTGGAATTGACGACTCAGCTAAGTACGAGACACTGAAGGGGCGAAATGGTGAGCATGCATCATCACCATCATCACCATCGTCACCTGGCAGCACATTCTTGCTGTTGGCCATCGAAGCGCTGTGCTGTACCTTCACCAATGGCGTCATGCCTGCGGTGCAGCCGTACTCGGTGCTCAGCTACGGCAACCTCACTTATCACTACGCAGTGACACTGGCAGTCATCTGCTCTCCAATCGGGTGCCTCCTCACCTCGCCTCTCTTTGCCAGGCGGAGAATCGTGCTGCCGTCTTCGGTGGCCATCGCTGGCGTGGCGGCCATCTACATCTTTGCGTCCGCTCTCAGCAGTCCCGTTCCACTCGTTGACCACCATTTGGGCAGGTTCCTGATCGTGCTCGCTTGGATGCTCCACAACTTAAACTTCGCACTGGCGCGAAGCACCATCACCAGCATCTTTCGCCATGAAGCGGACAGCCATCGACTGCTCTTTCTTGGTGGCGTCTTCACACAGCTTGGCTCCTTTCTGGGCGCCATTCTCATGTTCTTTATTGTCAACCAGACGACCATCTTTGTCTCCGTTAGCCCCTGTCCAGTAATAAAGGCGCCAATAAAGTAGCGCAAGTAAACAGGCGAGAAAGGCGAGAAAACGAGTTTAAAAAGTGTCACCGTTTTTGCTGGCATTTACCATCGCAGAGAACGGAGTGGTCGAGTGGCACATGCGCACTGATTGATCACTCGATCAGCTGTCGCGCACAACACAGACACACACACAAGCACATTCAGATTTTCAGTGGTTGCTGCTGACGTCGATCCATTTCAGCCAGCCAACATCACCATCGCCACCATTGGCACTCTCCCTCTCTCCCTCATTTTCATTTGGACACCAGTTCAGTTCCAGAGAGAACTGCTTCTGACCCCTAACTTCACTACTGTCCAGCAGCACTTGAGCACCCCCTGCTATGGCGGATCGAAGGAAGAATCGCAAGCGTACCGACGTAAGTTGCTTGTGACGCGTCCAAGTGGACATTGTGTAACCACGAGACATCGTTCTTTCTTTCTGTTTGCATGGGGTGTTCGGAACAGGCCGACGGTGATGGCTCCAGTGGTGAGGTGATCGACAAGCTGGAGTATGAGGTGGCCAAATATTTGAGATCAAAGTTGCCTCAGAAGCAGACTTCCTTTCTTGGGCATAAAGTGGACTACTTTATTGGTACGTTTAATTGTTTTTTCTTTGACACACTTACCTAACACTCAGCTGTTCAATATATAGCAAGCAAGGCAGTTGATCTTCTTATGGAAAGCAAGTGGGCCAGAGCTGATAAGCGCACCGATGAGACCAAGTTCCCGAATCGCGACACAGTGGTGGACTTTATGAATGTGATGCTTCATCACAAGTTCTTTCATCGAGTCAAAACTATTATTGTGAAGAAGGAAATCAAGAAGAAGCAGGAGAATGAAAGCAACGATGAGTCTTTTGAAGGTGCTAGCAAACAGTCCAAGGCGCCCGCTGTTGACAAGTCTCCAGAGCCCAAAAAGGCTAGCAAAAAGGAGAAAAAGGAAAAGAAAGAGAAGAAGAAAGTCAAGTTTGACATGCATCCGGAACAACTATTTCTCGACTCTAACGAGGTAAGTTATGATTCTATTTTTTCTGATCTGGCATCACCATGCTTGTTTTCCTGTTCTTGATTGTTAGCCATTTGTGTGGATTTACGACTACATCCCCATGAAAACCTGGCTCATCGGCGGAGGCCTGGTTTTTGCTGCCATTGCCATCTGTCTGTTCCCTCTATGGCCCCGAACTGTGCGCAATTACGTCTACTATCTTAGCATTGCTGCAGCAGCATTTTTGTTTTTCATCATTGCACTGGCTGTTTGTAAGTGCCCCATTCACACTTCCGGTTTGATTTCACTGTCTAATGGCGGAATGTTTGTCTTATGCAGTGAAACTGGTCGTTTTCGCTATCGTTTGGGCGGTCACCTTTGGGCGACATCATCTGTGGATATTGCCCAATCTCACCGAGGATGTGGGCTTTCTCGAGTCATTCTGGCCGCTGTATAAGCACGAGCACAAGACCAAAGATTCCGAATCTGAGCCTGACAGTAATGACCAAGAAGATGAAAAGGGTAAAAAGGAGACTGAGGCGGATAAGGAGGCTGATCAGGAGCGAGAATCGGAAGCGGAAAGCGTCGCCACCTCTGAAAGTGGCGGCAAAAGTGCGAACGGCTTTGAAATTCTCGACTCAGCTGACATAAATGAAGAATGATCCTGATTAGTTGGCTGGAGAAGCAGTCTCAGCGCAACACTTTTTGCCCCTACAGTAGTTTAAGATTTATTTTCTGTGACATTCTGTTTTCATCGCTCTACTATGCTGTACTTTGCATTTGATGAAGGATTCGTTTTATACTTTTGTATTATAACATCGGTATTTCATATCAATCATTTGTTTTGCACCAAATTCAACTGTTTGAGCGCTTGAATTGAAGCATAAGAATAATCGTGTACAGTCAACTTTTATTTATGTGGGGAGAGGTGATTTAGTGCTGCCTCCTGCCAGGTCAGTGTCCAGCAGTACAATAGGCCGAGCTAGGGCAAAGTAGTAGAGGACGGCGACCAGTCGATGGGTGAGGGCGTGTGCCAGTCTGATCCACTGAAGACTGGTGGAGGTAGTGGTTGTAGTCTGTCGCCACTGAATCAGAGCCTGCCAGGAGACGGTGAGAGCGGTGTAGAGGAGGGACGCGGCGATGACTGGCCAGTTGGCGACGATGACACGGGAGAAGATGCGTGCTCGCAGAATTTCCTCTCTGAAGAACTGCAGCAGTATGATTAGAAGCGAAAAGAGCAGTGACAAGTCCTGGAGGAGGTAGACGTACAGGCGAAGGAGAATAGGCACGCCGTACTGCTCGGAGATGGTGTTGGCCACCACATCGAAGGCGATCAGTAGGTAGCGGTACTTGGCCATTTTATTGTAGTTTAGTTTTATGCGCAAACATCAAAGGTAGTCACAAGTTTCGGTTATGATGAGTTAAGGGTGGGTGTTTAAGAGAGTGTCAGACAAAGTAACAGTGACCTGTAAAGCTATCGATCCAACTAGCTCAGAACTGGTTGCCCAGGCAACTGGTTGACAGTGAACAAAGCAGGCAACTGCAACAACAAACACAAATAGCAGTTTAGTGGTGCTAAAAGGCGAACAAAACTGTAGTGGTGCTTTGGTGTGAACCTGAACTGCTGAATAGTGAGGGTGTGCATGAATACATTGGGTGTGCTAACAGTGGAGATGAGGAAGTCCGGTGAACAGGGGAAAACTTATTGCCAATCTGGTCGCAATCTGAGGTTCATATTTAGTTGGTGACGCAGAGACGGTAGCTGAAGATGCCGTGCACAATCTGGACGACACCGCAGACCATTGCCAGGACCTAGGGAAAGGTAGCGTTTATTTTGAATGATGACAGCAACACCTGAACTCCTTTTGCACACTTACACAGCTTGTTTGCACCTTGGCGTTGCGTTCAGTGCGGCCGAAGGCGTTCAGAGAGACGAGGAGACCGCCGACGAAGATGAGTATGCCCATGAAGAAGTGAAACATAAAGTCAAATGACGTCTTGGGGAGAATGCTGGCTGTTCCCAGGGAGAGCAAGGCTGCAATCAGCATGATGGCCACCGTTAGCCAGTCACCGAAGCTGATGAGCATCAGGTAGCGGTCACTGTCATGGTAGTTGGAGTAGCGCTCAATCTCAAGCAAAATGAGGATGAAGGACACCAGGGAGAGGATCTGTCAGGGAGAGGCATGGAAAGAGGGGGAGGGGCCAAGGTCAATGATCAGTGTTGTGTTGCCACTTGATTCATTCGGTAATTGAGCACATCACGAGCACACTTACCAGAATGAGAAGCTTGAGGAGGCCCAACTTTGATGTGAGGTAGCCCGTGTTGATCACTAGGACGCTCGCTCGAGAGGTGCTTGTGGTGGTGGTGTGTCGCACTTGAACTGTTGCAGTCGGCATCTTTGCTTGTAGTGTGGTAACTGTTGATAAGAGTAACACCTGATGACCAGTGACCGATAGTTGTCAGTGGAAATTAGTAATTGGTAGGCGGCTGTCAGAGGAGGCAGAGAGGCGGTTGCTGCACCGAACTGCGACTGAAGATTGTTTCGGTTTGTGGAGAGAATGGCAAATGCCACTGCTGGCGCTAGTGCGTCTAATAATAAACACCCGTGTATAGTCAGAAGCGCGACTGGAACTGCCGCCCGAAGACTGCAACTTTCTCTCCTGAAGCCAGTGAAATATCCGCAGTCGTTCACTGCAGTGACTGGGCGTGTGCCTCTTTCCGTCCCTGAACTGCGGCTGCTGTTGTTGTGTGTGTTCTACAGCACTTTCTTGTGCCTTCACAAGTCTCTTGGATTCCAACTTTAGCACTAGTGGTGCTTACTCCTACGAGAGGCAATCGCATCATCAGGCAGAGCACAGACACAGACACACTTTTTGGTCTATCTTTCTTTTTGCTCCTCACTCGTTGCCATTTGAAGCGGCAGCTGCCGAAAAAGAAGCAGCAACAGCAACAGCAGCAGTTTCGATGCCCAGACGGTGCTTTTCACAGCACACTCATCACACTATCGTTTGCCGTTGTTGGCACACCGACAAAGTAAGCAGTGAAGGCGCCGTACTTTCACTGGTAATATACTTTCAGTACTAATAATGAGTGACATCATCACCAGTCCTTTTGTGGAGCTTTCTCTCTCCCGCTCACTGTTCGAATATGCTAAAGGTAGGGTAAACTAGTTGTTGGTACAACTCAAAGGGGGGTCATTCGAGACGAGGGAGGAAGTTTCGCGCACTCGTTTCGGTGACGTACTGCGGTGCAGTGGTGGCTCAAGCTCAAGGCCGTTAGCTCTCTGTGGAGGGTCAGGGGCAATAAACAGGCAACAGTGAACAGTGGTGAACACTGACCAATGAGAAGATCGGGGATTGTGGTGAAACTGAAGAAGCGGCAACAGCAACAGCAGCACAGGAGACGTTAATTGAATAGGGCGATTAGTGCCACTGCTGTGAGTAATTAGTGATTAGTCAGCGGTGTCCGGTGCAAAGAGGTGATCTTTCATTGTTTGTGCTTTCCCAAAAGACAGTGAATGTGTGTGCTCTAATACGCTCAAATTGCTGATCGATGATCCAATTTTTCCAGTGAGGACCACAGCTGAAATATGTCTGCATTTAGCTATGCGATCAGCGGCTGCTGCTGTTCTACTTGTGCTCGGTGACAGCGACAGGCAGCAGGAAGGCAGACAGGCGAGCGATGAGTTGTAGTGGGGTGAAGAGACAGTGTCCAGCAGACAGTGCTGCTGCTACTGCTACTGCTGGTCAATCGAGTGCAATCAGCCTAGCCATCTGCCATGGCCCCAGGCCGCACTGAGCGAAAGGCCATAGTAGTTTGCAGTTGTCAGTCAGTCGGTCAGTCAGCGAGTGAGTGTCTGTGCTTCGACAGACAGCGTTCAGTTCAGTTTCTTCACACCATTCAGCTAGCGAGGATAACAGCGTCCGTTGGTGCCAGCCTGCCTACCAGAGAAGGAGAGAGAGAGCCTGCACTGTATCCTGCTGCCGCTGTTGCCAGCAGTGGAAGCATACTTGGTGCAGTTACTCTCAATAACAGCGACGGCAGCCGCTGCTGCTCAGCTGCTCAGCAGCACCAACCGTCACTCGTGCACTGATGATCAGTGCAGTAGTGCCAGCAGCACTTCTGCACAGCGACCAATTCATTGCGCCATCACAGCCTACCTGCCATCAGCACAACCACCAGAACAACACAACCACACCACGGCACCACAACACCATCACCACCACCACCAAGTTTGTTGTCCACTGCTATCGCCTATCACCTGCAGCCTATCGCCCTTGCATCATCGTCACCCCTTGCCCACACACTTGCCTGCACAAGGACTAGCTATCGCAGCAGTGGTCCCTCGGGTCCTGCACGCACATAATTCGTTCTGTGCCTCATTCGTCTGCCCGCAGTTTCAGTTCAGTGCATTCATTGAAGAGTGTCGTGAAAGGGACGTTTATGATTGCACCGCTAGGCAAAGTGGTCGCCGGGAAGGACCGCGGTGGACTCAGCACCAGAGCTCACCACTGATCAACATGTGATGATTCAGAGGGATTGTCTGATAATCAGTTGAACGGAGTTTGAAGAGATGAGTGTGTGTGCCCTTCAGCACTGCCCACCCGGCCACATCTCCGGCAGCTGATAATGCTAATGAACAAGTATGCTAAACTTATAAAGCCTGGCCAGGAATACTACCAGTTTACTTGACATTTCTTTGTGCTTTGTTGCTGGGTTGTCTGTCAGTTGGTGTGTGTTTGTGTTTGCATGTGTGCGGTGTAGGTGTGTGTGTGTGTGTGTGTGTGCGACTGTGTTGGCCAGCCACTGTCACTCCGACGACGACGACATTTGCCGAATAGACCATCACGTCTCCACCGGCTGCTGCACCATGGGATCATGCATCACTAAGCGCAGCAAACGAAATTCCTTCTACGGCTCCATCGAGGACAGCCAGGAGACTACCAATGCCAGTGCCTCTTCGGCGCACCTGTTTGATTATGAGTTCACCCAAAGTGGCAGTGGCGACAACATCAAATCCGATGAGTTTCAACATGAAATCGACAAGTGGCTCATGGAGGCGGAAAATATCTTCCTCAACGTGGTGGACATTGTGTAAGTGTGCAGTGAAGTGAAAACCGTTATACGGTAATTAAAATTGACTAATCTTGATAACTTCCGCTTTTCAGCAATTTACCTATTGAACTTCAACGGCTAATTGACGTGTCCAACACTGAAGCAGGATGGCTGAAGATCATCCAGTCGATGATCAGCGTTGTCGGTCAAAGACAGTTTAATGGTGAGAATGACCACATCGGTCCGACGATCATCATTCTACTGCTCGAAGATTCTCCACTGCCCACTCGTGATCAGCTCAAGGACTTGCTCAAACTACTTGAGCCACATTTTGCCGCTCGAATTCACAGCCCACTTGACCAGAACATTATCAAACAGCGAAACATTTGCACCATCTTGTCATTTCTTGCTGAGAAGTTCCCAGGAACTAATCCTCTTGCCGTGGAACTACTTTCAATGAAGGTGATCAAGTTTCTCGAAAAGATTATCAGGGAAAACCACAATCCACTGCATATTCTCTTTGCGTTGAACTGCATTGAAAAGTTTGCCTCTTCAAGTAATTACCTCTTCATTACCTAACCAATCTTGAAACGTTTCGCTAATCACAGACAATTTTCTTTTTCACTGTTACAGGAGAAAACAGGGACACAATTTTGAAAAACTTTAACCTCATTAAAGAGTTGGTAGAGCTGGAAAAGTTTGCAGCACAGTACACCATTGGTTCATTGTACTGCGCATCGCCTTCTGACTGCCTCAAGTACCAGATCGGCTTCTGTGCCCAGTGGTGTCTGGACAATATTATCCTCAAAAAGGGCCGAAAACTCTCGTACGAGAAGGTAGACTACTCCAATTTAAATGCAATTCTCAACGTCAAGGACAAAACAGAGTTCATTAAGCTTTCCTCTAATGGCTTATCGGTAAGTCAGAGTCGGGCGATTGCTGACAGCATTTAACAGAGATTTTCCTTGTTTTCAGGCCCGTTGCGACACCTCAACGTTTGAATGCGTTCGAGCCACCTTTCCCGTCTCCACGGGATGCTACTATTACGAAGCGATCATCCTGACGAGTGGAATCATGCAAATCGGCTGGGCAACAAAAGCAACCAACTTTAGAAACGACGAAGGAATTGGCGTTGGCGATGATCGAAACTCCATTGCCTTTGACGGCTGTCGCAGTGTCATCTGGCATAACACGACGCACTACAAACACGGACTCAGTAGGTGGAACACCGGCGATGTGGTCGGATGTTTGCTTGACGTGGAAAACCGAAAGTTCATCTTTTACCTTAATGGCAAAAAGGTGGAGATTAACCGCAAGATTGCGCAAAAGTTAAAGTAAGTTTGGTAATGTTTATTTGGAAACAAATCATTCATTTTTGCCTTTCTCTTTTACCCGTCAAACAGTTTGCACTTTTCCGACCAGCCATACTACGCAGCGGCCAGTCTGATGTCTTACCAGCAGGTGTACTTTAACTTTGGCCAAGCACCCTTCAAATACCCTCCGAAGAAGCTCAAGTTCACCGACTTTAACTCTAACGCCATTGTCGATAACAAGGACAGCATCAAGATTGTGCCAATGTACGTGTGCTCACGACTAATCAGCGAATCACTCATGCCTAACTTTTTTCTGCCTTTTTTTTGTCTCACCCTCTTTCCTCTTTGCACTAAAATAGACATGTACAGAGCAGGTCAATTTCGTTTAGCAATCGAAAAAACATGTGCAACATTTGCTGTGATCGCGTGGCGAATGTTCGTCTTAAACCCTGTAATCATGAGGTCTGTACATTGATCTGCCGTTAAAAAGGGTTTTTATTTACTAACTTTCCAATACTTTTATTGCAGACCATTTGTTCACAGTGTGCCAACCAAGTGGATCACCTGTGTCCCTTTTGCCGCAATGAATTTACTCATTTCGAGGAAATCAAGAGCTGAAACTCATCTTCCGGTTTAATATGTCTTACATATGGTCTTTCACGGCGGCAGTGACTTCGTCATCGACGAGAACTGTGGCGCAGTCATTGTCATGATGAGAGGCGCCGCTGCCAGCACTCACTCACTCATTCACTCACACACCTGTACATTGCCTAATTATTATTTTTTACGATGGTCGCTTTTGCTGCTGCTGCCTCCTCTGCTTTTGCTTATGTTGGCTGCAGCGCAGCAAAAATCCGTCGCTCAAGTCAAGTCAACCACCGGTGATCACGCATGCTTATATATCATCCATCTCATCCGATTCATCTTCTCCTCACCCTCATCAGCACTTCAATAGTCAGCAGTTGTCGTCGTCGTCGACTACACTGCAACTTTTTCCTCATCGACCCGGCGACTGCGGCACACCTCCAGTGCCTGCCTGCCGGCCCTCCCCCCCCCCCCCCCCCNTTATTTTACTTGTAATATTTTACTTTTTACTTTTTTTGTATACACATCAAAGTAAAAATCAATTGCAATACACCTGTACCTCTGTGTAAGTGCGTGTGTGGTTTTTGGGTAATCCTGCTGCAGTACAAAAGCTCTACTAGCAGTTTCGATCGATGTAGTTCTTGTCGGAGGAAAATTTGTCCAGCTCTGCCGGGTTGGCCAGTGGGTCAATGTCAGAGAAAAGATCAAGCCACGATTGAAGGGTAGTGTTGTTCTTGTTGGTAGACTAGTAAACCGAAAAAAGAAACATTAGCAAAGAAAGCACGTTTGAACTTGAACTTACCTGTGCACTTGCTGTGCTTCTGCTTTTGGTTGGCGCAACGGTGTTGCCTGCAACGCTGCTGGATGCGACGTTGTCGCCCTGTTGGGTGGACTGCAAGAGCAATGACTCAAAGTCAGTCTGCATCAGTTCATTGCCACTGTCCATTTTGTGCATGTGGTCTAGCTCGATCAGTGAACTGGGCATGAAAGTTCCCGAGAGGTCTAGATCGCCCATCAAGTCAACACTGGATGATGCGTCAGCATTTCTTTCCCTCTCACCGGTGGTTGCAATGCTCGAAAGCTCAGCACTAAAGTCAAGCAGGGATCGTTCAGTTTTGCTGCCACTGCTGCTCTTCTTTTCCTTCTTTTTATCCTTTTCAGTTTTTGAATCAGCACCGTTATCAAGTTTTGATTTGCTAGAAGTCTTTGTTTTGTTTTTGCCGTCGTCTTTGCATTCCTTGCATGACTGTTTATGCTTTTGTTTTTTATTGTCGGCATTTGATTCTCTGTTATCTTTGTAGTCGGTCTCAAAGAAGATGAGCATATCCTTTTCGTTGATGTTGTCCTGGGCGAGAATCTCCTTGATTTTGGCCTCAAAACTTTCAAACCGCTCGTCAACTGTTTCACTGTTGAGCTCCTTCAGAACGGTAAACTCGTAGCTTGGTGAGCACGACTGGAAGGTCTCTACAAAGATGTTCATCACCTTGGAGGACTTTTGCCAGATGCTTTGAAGGTTGTTCTGATAGCTAGCCAGGACGTTGCTGAAGAGGTTGCACCGAGAGGCACTTAGTAAGTCGATCTTCTGAATGCTGTCAATCTTCAGCTTCTCAAAAGCCTTCTTCGTCCGCCTGACATGCTCCTGGACCTTTTTAAACTTGCCCATCTGTGCGTAGGCGTCCGGATCGAGCTCTTTCGAGATGTCCTTCATCCAGAGAAGCGCCGCTCGGTAGGCAGTTCGCGCCTTCTCCATCTGCCCCACAGTGTCAAAGGTGTCCGCCACTGCCCGGTACTGAAAGGTCTGCACATCACGGTACACTCGAATGAGGACATTCCGCAGAAGAATGAACTGGTGACTGGCAAAAAGCAGCGTCTTCCCAGAACCGGCCAGCAGTTTGCCCGCCTTGGTCGGGTCCACCTTGCCGCACTCGCGCATGAAGCGGCCTATGAGGCATTCCTCCTGGGCACAGGCACAAACCCGGTCCTGGTACAGGTCCAGTAAGTTCAGCAGGTTCTGGTTCGTTTCGTCGATTGACTTAAGAAGCTGCTCAGGAGAAAAGTGCTGACAGTGAGCGATCATTGGTAAACCGGCATCAAATGCCCTCAACCTCTGCATACCTCTAACTTGGCATCCAGTTCCGCATCCGAGGCGACCACATAGTCGTCCTGTTTTCGCTTCACCTTCTTGAGGAAGGTCTGCTTCGCTTCCCAGTAGTGCTTCTGCATCTTTGTCAACGTCGAGTTGTCCATGATGTGTGCTTTGAGAGGTGGTCAAGCTTGGTGGTTGGTCTTTACCGACACTTCCGACTCGTCTTGGTAACACCATGGGCCACGAGGCTCGCTGTGCGCATTAACAGCGAAAATTGCAATAACAAACGTGGCTCGTCTGCAGTGGAGTCAGTGGAGTAGTCAGTGGTCGGTAGTGGTCTGTCTGTGTTGGTGGTGGTAGCAGTGTGTCTGTCTGTACAGCCCACCAGAATGCCGAACTTGGATCCCCTCTATTGGTTGTGTAGTTGAGTGCTATATCTGCCTGTGCCTGGTAGTCTCAGTTGCCTCTGGTGCCAGCATAGTTGCCGCGTCTGCTCGCTGTGGGTAGCGACAGGAAATCGAGTTCAGCACCCAGCACTCGCCGATAAAGGCTGCTGGCATTTGAAGTGCGCCATTCACATTCACACTCACCACTGGTAGTGAAACCCCACTGCTAAACATTGACCTGAATGAATCCACCTAGATCAGATATGCAAAGAATAAACAGTGGCAATGCCAGGGTCAATTCTGGTTCCTTCTCTAGGTCCCTGGCTTTCCGTGGCATAGCATTCCATCAGTGCCATCAAGTGCGGCACTCGATGACGGCCACAGCAGGGGACACATCGTAGGTCGGTGCTGAAGAGTACTGTGAGTTCTGTGCCTTCTATATGGCGCCCGTAGTGGCGGCAGTGGTTCACGTCAGCCGGCAAACCCTCACTGAATTGGCTGTCAGGGCGTTGGAACGGTGGTGCCTGAGACTGCAGTGGTGCCAGTGCCAGTGCCAACACTGATGTCGGCAATAGGTCGACAGCACAATAGGCGTTATTGGAGTCATAAGCACACTACCGCACAGACAGACAGACAGTCGATGGGTGTTTGGCTATCGGCGATGCTGGCGGAGAACAGGCAGAGAACAAGAAGAGAGGATCAGGTCTCTTCGAGGGAGCACCACGATCAGTGCACTACCACAGACCGCCTGTCATTTGTGCTTCACTTGGCAGTACAGTTGCAGCCGCCGCTGTTTGTTGCGCTGTCGTCGTCGCCAGCCGTCTCTACTCACTAGCAGAAGGAGAAGCAGCAGCAGCCGCAGCAACCTCAGCGAGAGTGACTCGCCAGAGCGCCTTCACCATCACAACCACTCGCCGCCGCCACTGCACTCACGAGAACTTCTGGCCAGTGCCCAGATACGCCGATCGGATCAGATCATCAGTGGCTGATTTCACGTCGATGTCCACCGAAGGCCAAAGACTGCATCCTCGCATCCAGCTTTCGGATCACCCACGAGCCTAGACGTCTACCAAGAGTTCTCTCCCTTTCTCGTCCTGATTTGCATAATCATCTTCATCTGTCATCCACTCTCCATCTCAGCGACTCAAGCCGGTCTTGTGCAACTCTTCATCTCACCTCACCTCATATCAGACATTCCACTAATTAGAATTCCCTTGTGGCGCTTGTACTGCTATCAGCTCACCTTTTTTCTGCACTGTTATTGTCACCGCTCTGTGTTGTTGTGTGCTCGGCAGATTACTCGGCAGCAGCGCCTACCCAACACTGAACGCTCTTCACAACTATGCCTGCGGTCCGCGGTGAAGGGATGAGGGGCTTGGCAGTTTTTATATCTGATATTCGTAACTGTAAGTCACACAGGGAGTTATGGAATGATTTAGACCTGATAATCTTTGTAAACAAACTCTTTTTAAAGGCAAGAGTAAAGAAGCCGAAATAAAGCGGATTAACAAGGAGTTGGCCAACATTCGAAACAAATTCAAGGGCGACAAGACCTTGGATGGATACCAAAAGAAGAAGTATGTCTGCAAGTTGCTGTTCATTTTCCTTCTGGGACACGACATTGACTTTGGTCATATGGAAGCTGTCAATTTGCTTAGCTCAAACAAATACTCAGAGAAGCAAATAGTAAGCACCCAAATATAGATTTATGTGTTTATCAGGCTGCTTGACACACATCCTTCTTCTCCTCCTACCACAGGGCTATCTCTTCATTTCTGTGTTAATGAACGCCAACAATGACTTAATGAAACTGATCATCCAGTCGATCAAGAATGATCTGAACTCTCGTAATCCAATTCACGTCAACCTAGCGTTGCAGTGCATCGCCAATATTGGATCCACAGAAATGGCCGAGTCCTTTGGCAATGATATTCCACGTCTTCTAGTGTCTGGGTAAGTTTAGGGCATGATTCGTTTTTCTACCACCGACTCTATTGATTTGTTTACTCCAACTTAGCGAGACGATTGACGTTGTGAAGCAGAGTGCCGCTCTCTGTCTGCTGCGTCTCTACCGGGCACTGCCTGACCTGAGCCCCGGCGCCGAGTTCACCTCCCGCATTGTGCATCTACTGAACGACCAGCACATGGGCGTAGTGACCGCCGCCGTCAGCCTGATCAACGCTCTGGTGAATCGAAATCCGGACGAGTACAAGGGCTGCATCTCACTGGCGGTGTCGCGGCTGAGTCGCATCGTCACTGCGTCCTACACCGATCTGCAGGACTACACCTACTACTTTGTGCCAGCGCCGTGGCTGTCGGTGAAGCTGCTGCGTCTTCTGCAGAACTACCCGCCTCCAGATGATCCGGGCGTTCGAGGCCGACTGAACGAGTGCCTCGAGACGATTCTGAACAAGGCGCAGGAGCCGCTGAAGTCGAAGAAGGTGCAGCACTCGAATGCGAAGAACGCCATTCTCTTTGAAGCCATCAGCCTTATCATTCACATGGACAACGAGCCGAACCTGCTTGTGCGAGCTTGCAACCAGCTGGGCCAGTTTCTGCAGCACCGTGAGACCAACTTGCGCTACCTGGCGCTAGAGAGCATGTGCCTTCTGGCCACCTCGGAGTTTTCGCACGAAGCGGTGAAGAAGCACCAGGACACGGTGATCAACGCCCTCAAGACGGAGCGAGACGTCAGCGTCCGGCAGAGGGCCGTCGATCTGCTCTACGCAATGTGTGATAAGACCAATGCCGAGGAGATTGTTGCTGAGATGCTCTCGTATCTGGAAACAGCCGATTACTCTATACGCGAGGAGATGGTTTGTGCTCTCTTTCTTCACCCATGTCCAGCTTGTTCTCATGTACTATTTGTCCCATTTGTATTGCAGGTGCTGAAAGTGGCCATTCTCGCGGAAAAGTACGCCTCTGACTACACCTGGTACGTGGACGTGATCCTCAATCTCATTCGAATTGCCGGCGACTACGTCAGCGAAGAGGTCTGGTACCGAGTCATCCAAATTGTCATCAACCGAGAAGATGTCCAGGGCTACGCGGCAAAGACGGTTTTTGAGGTATGTTTTTGTTCGTTACAGATAATCAAAATTTTCTAATCTATTATCTTTTAGGCGCTGCAAGCTCCGGCGTGTCATGAAAATATGGTCAAAGTGGCCGGCTACATTTTGGGCGAATTTGGTAATCTCATTGCAGGCGACCAAAGATCGAGCCCTATCATTCAGTTTCAGCTGCTGAACTCCAAGTACCACCTCTGCTCGACGAACACGCGTGCACTCTTGCTGACCACCTACGTCAAGTTCATCAACCTCTTTCCGGAGATTAAAGTCGACATTCAGACAGTGCTGAAGAATCACAGCAACATCAAAAGCGCCGATGCAGAGCTGCAGCAGCGAACCGTTGAGTACTTACAGCTGAGTCAAATTGCCAGCACTGAGGTGCTAGCGACAGTACTCGAAGAGATGCCTCCATTCCCCGAACGAGACTCTTCCATTCTCGCCACCCTGAAGAAGAAGAAGCCCGGAATGAATGTGCCTGACAAGGTCCTCAAGGAGGGGCGAAATTCAATTCCCAACGCCATCAACAACTCGACCGATTTGCTGGGCCTGACTGCCTCTGCCGCGCCGGCTACCGACGCTCTGGGCGTCGCCCTCGGCCAGAACAGCTCTAACCTGTTGGTGGACATCTTTGGCGACCCTGTCGGTCCCAGCGATGGTCTGAACAGCTCCGACGGTTTCAATGGTCTGGCGGCGGCCAGTGACGGGACGGTGGTCATTCACAGTAATGAGGAGTGCATCGACAAGCTGCTATGCAAGAACAATGGCATTGTCTTTGAGAACACCCTCATTCAAATCGGTGTCAAATCGGAGTACAAGCAAAATCTGGGCAGAATCAGCCTCTTCTACGGTAATAAGACCACTGGCAAATTTACCCAGTTTCTTCCAGCCATCACCTGTCCGGGAACTCTCGGTGGAGGTAAGAAGCGATTGTTGAAAGGAGGTTTATTATGGTTCAACTAAAAATGTTTGCATTTATAGCACTGGACGTTCAAGCCAAGCCCGTGGAGACAGCTATTGAGGGCGGCGCTCAGGTGCAACAGCTTATCAACGTCGAATGCATCGACCACTTTGCCTCAATGCCGACACTGGTGGTGCAGTTCATCAGCAATACGAATGTCCCGCAGAAAATTACACTGCAACTACCGATTACCATCAACAAGTTCTTTGAGCCCACCACAATGAACTCAGAGAACTTTTTTCAGAGGTGGAAAAACTTGAACAAGTAAGTTTGGAGAATGCATTGTATTGCTAATGGTGAAGTTTAACTTTTTATTTTTTGAACTCACTTAACAGTCCTGGTCAGGAAGCTCAAAAGATTTTCAAGGCAAAGTTTTCAATGGAGGGTGACAACTCGCGAACCAAATTGAGTGGATTTGGCTTTCAACTGCTGGAGAACGTTGACCCGAATCCGGAAAATTACGTTTGCGCTGCCATTTTCCACAGCCGCCAAGTACAGGTGGGCTGTCTTCTTAGGTTGGAGCCGAACAAACAAGCACAGGTAACGTGGAACTGAACTGAATAAATCAGTGCAAAATTGAGTTACAAAATTGTTTTTGCATTCGCAGATGTACCGACTTACAATACGATCCAGCAAGAATGACACCTCAGGGAGGGTGTGCGAACTGCTGCAGGATCAGTTCTAAGAAAAAGATAGAGCGAGAGCGCGCCCCCGACAGCAAATGCTTCACCGACATTCTACAGCAGCAGAAACAACTGACCCAAAGTCCCATCCTCGCTTCCTTCTCCTCCTCCTCCCTTCCATAAGAGTTGCATGACAGAGAACCTTTACCTGTTTGCCCCCAAATCGTTGCCCTATTTGGCCATTCATTAATTATTAAAGATGAAGTGACATTGTTTTCAGCCGCCAAACATCACCCGCCCACACCGGATGTGGCCAGAGTGTAGGTGGCTGAGGTAGAGCAGTGCAGAGCAGTGCCATTCGGATGGCCAGTCCTAGCGAGCGTACACTGTGTCCTAGCCCCCAGACTGTGCACATTCGTTCCCCATTACCACCACCTGTCAAATTGTCCCCCCCCTAGAGCCAATGATGTGAATATTGTCATTTGAGTGTTGTTGTGCTAGTGTCCAGTGACCACCATGACCACTACCGCTGACCAGTAAAGTGCAAGGAACGTACTCTGATGAATATCTTTTCATTGATTTCTCCATTGCTGTCCAGGTGAGCGCACGTGCAGCGGTCCACCGCTGCTGGCTCGTGCAGAAGCGCCTCAGTGGTAGTGGCAGCCGTTGCAGCAGCAACTCACCTCAGCTCAACTGGCATCAGCGCTCTCCCCGAGCCCCCCTCTTCCAGTGAGCGGTCAACGGTGGAATTGACCCGTCGAAGATGATGATGATGATGACGGTGGTGGCGGTGTCTGTGTCTGGCAGGCAGGCAGACACTGAACACAGTGAACACACTTCTGACAGTGCAGCAACACGGCGTTCATCTGGCGTCTCTCTTTCTCTCTCTCTTTCAGTATTGGCTGTACTGGCAGCTTTTGAGGATGGGACGTTCCAGGCAGGCAGCTTTCCTTTTTGCTATTCAGAGTCGCCTGAGTCATGCGCAGATGTCCACCGAAGGCAGTCCAGTGGGAAGGAGAGAGGAGGGCGCGCTCTAGTCGCGAGGTAGAAAGAGAAAGAAAGAGAGACGCTGCAAACGCTGCGCTTAGTTGCTTGCAAGTTGCGAGCTGAGCAGTGAGCTGATAATTCAACAAACTTTGAACTTGGTGGCAGTGGCCAGGTCAACTGGCAGCGAGTGGAGTGCAGTGCACCAGTGACGGCAGTGCCCCTAACCGTCAACAGTATTCAGTCGTGCACTGCGAGGCATCTCCGCCGAAGACATCAACACCAATGCCTCGAGACCAGTGTATTGGTCCTTGTTGCAACGACGCCATCCGACGCCACGCGGTACCTGCACACCAGCAGCAGCAATACACTCTGCAACATGCTCCACTCTCAAGGTATGTCAGTGCCTGCCTGCACTGTGTGTGTCTGTGTGTTTTATTGTTTGCCGTACATCAGCAACCATCAACCAGCAAGCAGCCAACCAGCAGCAGCAGCACTTTATTGTTTTCCACTCTTTCCCCCTGATTCGCTCACTCTCATGTCCAATCGCATCTTCCAGAGACGATCACCACCATCATCACCACCAGTATAGTACTATAGTGTATCACCAAGATTGGATCATCTGCCTAATTACCCAAATATAGTGGCCAGCAGATGATCATCAGAGTGCTCAGTCTTCTCAGCCTTTACTGCCACAACCAGAATCCTTTATCTCGCTCTACCAGAGAGTCCTTTAACTCTCTCTCTCTCTTTCTCGAGTTAAAGTGCTGCGCCAGTCTCTGCCGTCTTCAGTCTGTCTGTTTCCAGTTTTCCTCGTTTTAAATGGAAGATGTACATGCACTCTCTTCGCAGAGAGTTAATTGACTTCTTCAACACTTGGTTGCTCTAATTGTGTAAAGTTGCTGCAGCTGCAGCAGCAGCAACTTTCTGCCGCAACTAGACGCACATACTCTGAACAACACTGCAACGAGTCGCTGACCAGAGACAAAAGGGAAAAAGACCAGTGCCCAGCTGTCCAGAGCAATGTGCGTTGTCTAATGTTTTTCCCGCTGATAGTTTGAAACTGCCCCTTATCTATTGTCAGTCGAACTTTTGTTTTTATTTATTTATTTCCAATCTTTTCTCACGTGGCTGCTGCCTTCCTTGCTAATGCACAGTTCTAAAGTCCAATGATCTTCCACGACGATATGACCCCCTTTCAGTTGAGAGCATTTCATCGTGAACGCCTAGATGGACAGATAGAGACCAGGGAATCAGATACAGCTGCAGCCTAGCCTCAGCCCAGCTCCCTAAGCAGCAGCAGCAGTCATCCGTCCATTTGTTCCTCGGCTCTATTCCCAATCCACCACCCGTGGCAGCTGCCGCAGAGTCCATCTTGCCGCCGCCAAGTCGGGGCAAAGTTCGAATTTGCGACCGTTGGAGTGAATGGGGCGCAAAGGCACAGAACAGGACAGGGGCGATCTCTCGATCCTGCGTGCGCCATCCTCGCGCTCACGTCCGCCCTGGTCGCAAACTCCACTCTCGCTCTCTTCCTCACTCTCTCTCTCTCTCCCTCTTTCGCTTCGCCCCTCATGCGAGAATCTTCCCGAGTGAGAGAGAAAGAGGCCTTGTGGTGGCGATTCTTTGGCAACGCCCCCGAAAGGAAGTTTATCGTTGTCTTTGCTATTCTCACAGTCTCTGCCATCAGCATCAGTAGCAGCAGCAGGAGTGAGGCAAACCAACGACTACGACGATGACTGTGGGCACCTCTCACACTCACACTCGCTCACTTACACGGACACAGACAGACACAACTTAGCAGTCAGAGAGTGAAGGAAATCGCGCGCCAAGATACTTTTAGCTCTGAGCTATCTTTACTTTTTGCCAGCGTCTATCGGCGGTGCCTCGTATTATTTTTCTTAAAACGTCACGCGGTAGTGGTGCTGCTACTGCTACTTCCCTTGCTGGCGTCAGGCACCTCTCCTTCTCTCTCCGCCGATTGACGTTGAACTGTGACGGCGAAGTTGCAGCCACCCACAGGCGACCACAGCCGCTGGCGCCCTCCGCCCGTGCCACTACCAATTTTCGACTTCACTCCATCACCCCCTCCTCTTTCATTGCAAACTACTTTTACCGCCATTTTTAAACGCGCATATGCGCGCTCCTTCATCCTCGATCGGCCTCTCTCGCTCTCTCTCTCTCCCTCCTCCCTGCAGCCTGAGTGATTTCTTCCAGGTCAGACTCCCGCCGCTGCTACAGCCACACACAGCTGCCCACAGTGGTTCATGCTTCCACCGAGTTGCTGTTTGCAGCGTCCGCCACAGTGCAGGCCCCTCTATCTTTTTCTGGCACCCCCTCCTGCAACTTTATCTGCGGGGTGGCTGGAAGCTGGCGGCTGGCAGAGAGTGGCCGATGCGTTCACTGCGGACTGAGAGGAGCACACTGTGCCTGAAGCCTGAAGTGCACGGCTGTCCTCTTCTCTCGGCGATTCCCTCTCTATATCGCTCGTGGTTGGTGGCTGGCCGTCACCAGAGACACTGTATTCGCAACTGCCACCACCACTACCACCGTCGATGACTTGCTATGTTGTTGCTGCTGTCACTCGCTCTCTTCAGCGACCACTGCTGCTGCTGCTGCTTCGTTGCAAATAACGAGCTTCAACGTCCAAAAGCCTCTTTGTGGCCGTTGTCGTAGCAGCAGCATCAGGATCCTGCCAGCCTGCCTGCTGCTGGTGGTGGTGGTGGTGGTGGAGCAGTGCAACGCAATGGAAGGAAGGCTGGCAGGCCAATCGCTGCAACGTCGATTTGGCCCCGTCCCCTGAGTGGAAGCTGCAGCAAACTCTGCCAGCAGCACGTAGGTTTCGCGCGTAGTGCGCGCCTTTTTCGAGCTCGCTGCCCTGTGCTCTCTCTCAATCTTTCTTTTTTCGACAACGAATGTTTGTGTTGTCGATGTTCAGCTTGTGTGCTCTTCGTGTGTGCTGTCCTGGCCTGGCCTGGCCTGCTGCTGCGCCAATCGCCTGCATCCGTCGCCAGTGCCTGCCTGTCTGCGACTCTGTCCATTGCACTGCAACCAACCTCGCTGGGATTCGCTTTTGTTTTTATTCCCGCTGCTGAACATGACCCGCCAGTGTCCGTGTGCTTGCCCTAGCACTTGGTTGCAGCCAGTTTGAAATTTCCTCCTTTTTCCTCCCGCGACCACTTGCGAGTCCAACCGATTGTCGCCCCTGCTCCCTCTCTCTTCGTCGCCTGTCACCTTCGCCACTTGCTTGGTAACTTATTTTTGCTGGTTAACTTAATTACGCCATACCAGTTGTGCAGACCAGTGACCAGAGCAGTGAAGTTAGAAGAAGAAAAAGCAGCAGCAGCAGCAGCAGCAACCGAAGCATCAGCAGCATCAGTGGCTGCAGCGGACGTACCTCTACACTNGAAGCAGCAGCAGCAGCAGCAGCAGCAACCGAAGCATCAGCAGCATCAGTGGCTGCAGCGGACGTACCTCTACACTGGCAAGTGCAGTAGCAGTGGCAGCAATCCTCCCCGACAAGAGTTGTATAACCTCATTTGGATGTTCCATTTAATTCTTGCCGTCTGCAAACACTTTGCCACCGACGAGTTGCAGCCATCTCAACACTCATCATCATCATCTGTGTACGCTGACTCTGTGTGTGTGTGTGTGTGCCAACCGAGGAAGTCACATGATTCGCACACAGCAGTGGCCTGTTCTCCTTTCATCCTGATTTGTTGTTGGTGGTGGTTGCCGTCCTCGTCCTCGTCGTCGTCGTGCACTTGTGCACTTCTGCAGCCCCTTTCCTCTCACTCACTCACTCCGCCACCATCTCTGCAATCATCTCATTCGCCCAATTAGTGCTGGTGGGCACTCATGGATCGCCCGCGCGCGCTCCATCGGTCCAGTGTTGTTGGTTGCTGATGGTGGTGGCCGTGGTGGCCGTGGTGGCCTGCGTCGCAGCAGTCCTATCTATGCCCGTCGCCGAGGAATCCCCTGCATCTCCAGCAACGACTATTCTCCCGTCCGACCGACCGACCGTCGCAGCTAGTCAGGCAGCCAGTTAGCAGCAGCAGCCATCGACCATCACAGCCAGCCAGCCCCAGTCCCCTGCCCTCCCAGCAGCAGCGATCGCACAGTGCGACGTTCTCCTCGCTCCGTGCCCACTGCGATGTTGAATGGCGGCAATATAATTCGCACAGTTCATTCACCGCGGGGGCTGCTGCCCTCTGGCGGGACAGTGGGGCACCTGGTCTGGCATACCACCACCACAGCTGCACTCGCTTCCCTTCCAGTACGGGGCTTTCGCGCCTTTTCTCCGACGACTTGTGGCTGCCTCTGTCTGTGTATCTGCCGCGCTTGCTTACCACTTGCTTCCACTTCCTAGGCTCACATTTAATTCCTCTAGTAGCAGCAGCAACAGAAACAGCATCGGCGGCGGCAACGGCGGCAGTAAATTCTCAACCGTTCTCAACGGCAGTCTCTCTCTCTCTCTCTCCTCGTTTCCCACCAACTGTCGCAGCCGCTCTCCTCACATGGCCTGATGATATTCTTTGTGAAAGACATGGGTAGTGAGATGTGTTTTTGCACTCTCGCATCATCTCACTACCTTGTCTTTGACGAAGCGTACTTATCACCGTTCACCCCCTCCTCTACCGCCTCCACCGCCACCACGTGCTGCACTCACCGATCCGCTATGATGGTGGTCTTTAAGCCGTCAAAAAGGCTTGTGAAATATTAGCTCATTAAATTAGATTGATACTCTGATTTAATGGCACCCAACTGAACGATATATCACAGCCTTTTTTGACTACTTAAAGGTTGCTACCTGTTCTCCGTCCTCCTGGCGATGGTGGTGGTGGTACTTCCGCTTCCGCTCTTGGTTGGTGACCCCTACCTCTTACTGACAGATCTTAACTCGTGTAAGTAGTGCTGTGACTTGTCGCGACCAATCGAAGCATATCACAGCCTACTTAACACGATTTAGGCGATCTGATAATCATCTTGCCCAGTCATCATCATCTTTACCACTGCATCTATACTGTTCAATATACCCCATATTTTAATTACCAATTTAAACACAGTCAGTTTTGGTGAGTTTAAGTAAATTTTGTCAACCTGCATCCAATATCTTTTTTACTGTAATCTGTAATCAACTGATTAAAGCCTCGTTTACCTCGACACATTTCCATTTTAGCGATCTTTAAGCCGTCAAAAAGGCTAGTGAAATAACTGCTCATTAAATTAATTGGTAATTAGTTTAATTATCAATTAATTATGTAATGAAAACTCAATTTATATCACAGCCTTTTTGATACACTTAAAGTTTGCTGCCCTCGTCGTATCGTGTCTCTTCTTGGATCATCTTGACCCTCCTCCCTTTCACCAGCACCTCTTTCCATTTTGGATCAATCATTTTACTTCAATAACAAATATTTTAAAATCAAGACTGTTTTGTTGTTTATTTGTTGTATTTTGAGAGAGTTAAACCTCTAATAACATGATGATCACGAGACTGCCACTGATTTTTATCTGCTCAAGGCTCGTGAGCAACACTTGCAGCAAAATGCCGCGTGCTCTGTGGTGGTAGGCAGAAGCCAACGAAGGCGCACGTGCATCCTCAGCGAGCAATCATCCTCGGCTTCCACTGATCACACACACACACACACACACACACACACACACACACACAATCGTCTCCAGCAAAGGCGCAACACACACACACAAAGAGCGTAGTATTTAAGCAATTTCCTTTTTAATCTCCGTGAGCATGGCAACTAGTGCATCGACCGTCTCCTCTCCCGTTGGCTTGATAAATCGAGCAGGTAGCAGGAAGCCGTAGCTTCCCTTGTCTCGCAGCTCAAAGGTGTACGCGTATTTGATTTCAGCTGCTCCGTGGGCCCAGTCTGAGGGGAGAGAAAGAGAAGAAGATTCAGTTAGTTGTAGAGCAGTTTGTCGCACGCAACCAGACAGACTGACAGACAGTCGACCGACAGTCAGTTAGTCAGTCCGCCAGCCATACGTGCATGTCTTTCTTCTTCTTCGTTTTCTGCTTCCAGTTCACCAGTTTTTCGCCTTACCGTCTGATCCGCCTGCCGCCAAGTCTGCAAGATCATTTGCAATCATTAGTAGTCTGCCGACTGAGTGAATCAATGGCTATCACATGGTGCACCCCCAGTTACTGGGCGACCGTGAATCTCCTCGAATGTGTGCGTTTCACACAGCTTGTACACTTACAGAGGATTGAAGGGCTGGTGCCGTATTCGTATTCAGTGCCGTAGCGCATCTTGATGGCGCGACTTCCAATCTGCGCTACTCTCATTAAGTCTGGATACGCTTTCGGTAGGTCTTTAGTCCATCCCCTGTTTGGGTAATTAAATGCTCAATTGATAGCCACCGACACTGGTTGGGAGGATCGACTGCAATTGTAATTGTGCTTTCCTTCCCCCCCCTCCTTCTTCTACTCACCATGGTGTGAGAATTAACTGTGAATAGGAATGCAGCGAGACAAACAGCTGAAGGGAGAAAGAAAGGAGAGAGTCAACAGGTGTTTTAGTTAGCAAAAAAACAAGTGGAGTTCAATGACACTGTTACCTTGACTCTGTCTTTGTGCTTGAGCACGTGTTCGCCGATGGCCTTTGTCTCTGGCTCTGAGAAGGGAAATGGACCATGGTAGGTGTTGGAGCAGGGATTGTTGCTACTGCCTGCCTTCTTCCACTGCCAACCGTAGTTTCTAGTGGCAATAAACAGGTAAGTAGTAGCATTAGCAGTTGCTCACTCTACCTGTTAGGATCGACGCCGATGCAGAACAAACTGCTTTAAAAGGAAATTTAAAAGTTGATTTAAATGTTTCTTTCAACACAGCAGAACAGAACATGTTTTCGACTTGCCCAAGTAGTGAGTTGCGGTTTCGGGATCGAGTTTTTCGCCAGAACCGATCAAAATTTCTCGAGTACTCGTAACCGTCGGGATTTGCAGAGGGTAAAATGTGAAAGTCGAATTCGTGCAGAAGATCGACAATGTCATTGTCATCTTCATTATTGACCAGCTGTAGATTCAAAGATGTAGTACACAAAATATTCTGATTTTGCTCAGTGATCACTTACCTTGTTGATGATGTATATTGCCGTAGCCGGTGCAATCCATTCGCGAGCATGAATTCCAGCATCGATCCAAACGATGGGTTTGTTCGGTTTACTGCTGTTGCTGTAGCCAACTTTGATGATTTTCATGACACGACCCTCCGAAGTCTTGCCAATTGTTTCCAGAGAACACAAGTCCGGGTGTTGTCGAGATATTTCTTCAATATACTGGTAAATCTGTGTTTAAAGTGAGTTAGGAGAAAATTGACAGCAATGAGACACCAAATTCTACTTGCATTAGACAATGGCTGGTACTTCTGAAAGAAGGAAGTCTCGTTGGGCGCCAAGTACAGCAACGACGAGCCGTCGCCCTCTTTCTGCTTTCCTAAAATCCTGTTCCGTGATCGATAGTGTTAATCAGGTCACCTTAATCAGTGAAACTCCCCACACACTCACCTGCCGACGTCATTGATCAGCGTTTCCGTCTCCATGTTCTGCTTCTTAAGGATGGCCTTGATTTCTGTTTCGTACTCTGGGGCGACCATGAAATCGACTGAAGAGTTGAGACGATTCGGCTCAGACCAGAAGTTGATCTGTGCTCCAGTGGCGCTGGTCTCGGAGAGCGTCTGCAGGTACAACAGCTGGGCCATGCTCTCCGCGTGGACACGCAGCACTCTATAGCCATCGTAAGTGACTTCTTTTGCTGTCACTGTCGCTGTCGCTGTTTCATTGCCAGAGCTTACAACTTTGCTTGAAACTTCCCAAAAGGTTGAGGTCAACAGTGAGATCAGAAGACACAGGGAGGACACTGCGTAAAGGCTGTTCATGGTAAGTAAATGGTAATTGTGACACTGCAAAAAATGAGGTGCATCTCTCTGAAATGCATCGAAATACAAACTGAACGGCCTGCTTTTGCCTTGTCGGTCACTTTTTATAGACGAATGCAGCACTTAAAGCACATCTTGACAGGAGAACGGTAATCCGGATATATCGAACGCTAAATTGAGTAGGCACCCCTCCAGTTAGTGGTGGCCTAATTGCCAAAAGGTCAAGCCCACTGCTCAAATGTGCAGCTGCTGATGACGCTGATGCTGATGATGATGATGGTGGTGGCACAGTAAGTGCCTAGCACCGGTTTGAGTGAGCACTGTCTTTTCGATACAGCTCACCTTGTCTTGCTCAGTGAGTGTCATTTTTTCTTCGCGAGGGCAATTGAAAAGCGATGAGCTTACTACTGACATCAGTAGTACAGGAGGGGGAAAGAAATGTGTCACCAAATAAGGCAGTTTAGTGCATGGCCAGTGCTAAGAAGGCAAGCACTCATACTTTTTTGCAAGAAAGCGACCCTTTTGCTGGTGGTCTAGGTGGACATTAGGCACAGAAAACGCAGAAAGCATCGTCTTCTTTTCAAGAGCATCTACAGTTGCATCGGTGCTTTACGGAGAGCTGTGTAAATCGTGGTAGCCATAATCGATGTTAACCTTGTTTGATAGCAGCACACATTACTAAGCACTCATTTCAGCAATCACCGCACAGACACTTGCATTCGACCCTTGTCAATTGGATTGTCGAGTTTGCAGCAATAAGCCACTGCAGCAGCAGCTACTGAAGGAGCCCTAATCGACGGTGCCCTCAGCTTAGATCTGGCCACACTGATACCAAATAAACATGACTAGATTGATGTTGTTGATGTGTCCACGACAACTTTGATCACACATCTTTGGATGATTTCGTTGTTTACTCCAGTACAAGTGACTGTCACCATATGATTGTCAAAGAGGAAATGCCTGGGCACTTTTACACAACTTTGGCACACTTTGGGTCATCAGTTAAGTTAATCATTTTTTGCCGATATAAACCAAAGGCTTTCACGCTAACATCAGCTGTAATCAGCTGAAAATAATAGTTAAACCCTGCCTCCACTGCTGAAACAAAGTTTGTCATCCATTGTTGAAATCAAGTAAGCGCAACTTTTGCAATGAATCGAAGCCTTCGCAAGCGCCAGCTCGGCAACAGCAGCAGCAGCAGCAGACAGTATCTTTTGCCAGTGAGTCGGCGACAGTGATGGTGGCGACAATCGCCCACAGTTCAGCCTCTGTGACCGCATCACACTAGATCTCTTCATGTGTCTCTTCTAATCTGGTGTGCCTGCCGCTGCCTTGCATCGCATTCACACACACACACAATCTAGTGTCGAAGCCCAACTTCACGAACCGTTTCACGAAGGCGCTTGACAGATAAGCATTTCGCGCGCGCCATCTCTTTATGAGTGATAACCGGACGAAGGACGGTGTAACCACTCGGCAAGGCAAATTCTCTAAACAAATAAATCTGCCTTTTGAATAAAACGTTTTTAAAAAGTGTCTAAATTTAAAAATTTTCCTAGATTTTATTGACGTGATTGCCTTTTTGCTGGAGAAAAAAAACCCAGATTTACCATTTGCTTTAAACTGATTAAAATAGTTCACGTGCTTTAGAAGTAAAACAGTAGACAGAAAGTCACTGAAAGTACAATCACAAAGAAAGCCGAAGAAGTTGCACTTGTTTTTATGTTATCTCTATTGTGAAACGAACAAAAACTGCTAATAAATTTTAGTTGGTTCAACCAAGTGACAGTCTAATCAAAGATGGCAGTGATTTTTGTTTTTAAAAGCGGAAAAATATCAAAAGCAGACCAATTCACAATGCTCGAAAGTGATACGACAAATGTGGTCGCCCGCCTTCACATTAGGGCTCAATCGGTGATTTCAAAGGGCAGACGGTGCCGATTTCCGGCAGCAAACACAGTCTGATGTTTGCCAACAGCCAACAGAGGTGCAACAAACACCAGCAGCGAAGAGACACTTTGGAGGGTTCTCTCGGTGGACGGTGGCGGCGGCGGCGGCAAAGTCGGCTGGCCCATCGATCTGTCCATGCTGATGGCAGGCTCTAATCTTCCATCGTAGTTGGTACTGTTGCATCGGCAGCGACAGCACATGCACAGTCTGGTCGAATTTCTGTAATTTCTACTTGGCGCCTTCAAGATGATGAAGAAGAAGTAGAAGAAGGGGCGGCAACAGGACAACCAGAGAGATACCAGTCGCGCCGTACTCTCTTAGCACTGACTAGAGAGTGAGAAGGCACATCCACATCGATGAAGACAACAGCAGCATCGTTTTCGGTTTTCATATCGACCAGCAGCAGCAGTGTGTTCAACATTTATATAAAGTAATAATCATCTTCGATAATTGCCAGTCAATCGTCTCATATATTGGCTGCTCGAGAGTATTTTTGTGTGAGATTTCTCCTCTTGCCTTTAGCGTTTACCGTGCACTACTGCTGCTGTGCCTCTGGTTGTGTGTGTTTTGTGAATCCCTCTCTGGCTCTCAGGCTTGGCAGTGCTCCCTTTGCACTCCTCTACAGCACCGCCGCCATAGCCATCAGAGCACTGCAGCAGCATTTGCACCAGCAACCACCAGTTGTCCATTTGGCTGAACGGTCTTCACTTCACTTTGTCACGCCAATGTACCAGCAGACCGTTTCGGCACTTCTCCTCCTCCTCCTCCTCTGACCCCTGTCCTCTGCACTCAATAGTTGACCTGAATTTTTTGGCTCACTTTGTGGCTCAACTGAAGTTGAACTGAAGTTCACCTCCACAATGAACTCAAATCCTCCCCTTCCCTCCGAGGATCAGTATGCTCTACAAAGCATCAGCAGCCCTGCAACGGCAGTGGCTAGCGAGGGCAGCAATGGCAGAACTACCTCACCCGTTGAAACAGTTATCGATGGTGCAGCCGGGCAGCAGAACAAAAACCATTTAAATAACAATCACGATGGCAAACAGAATGGCCACGCACCGGCGCTAGAATCGACGACACCAAAAGGCAGTGAGACCAAAATGCGGAAAATTAGATTGCGGGCAAAGTGCCCTAATGGTAAGCGCAGCCATTTTTAGTTTTTTGATTATCACAGTTAGTTTACCTGTAAAAAATGACAAAACTTAGGCGGCTTTGGTTGGATGGTTGTCTTCTCCTCCTTCATGTGCAACATCATTGTTGATGGCATCATATTTTCCTTTGGTTTTCTACTTCCTGAGATCTCAACTGAATTTAATGAGAACAAAGCGACCACTGCGTGGATTGGCTCCCTTCAAACTGGATTCTACCTGATCGTGGGTAATAGCTGCATTGAGCTCAATAAACTGCATAAAATAGCCTTAACTTTGAAAACCTCACTTAGGACCCTTGGTGAGCGCCTTTTCGGAGATATACGACTGTCGGATAATCACTGTTCTTGGAACTTTCCTCACTGCTATTGGCTTTGTCCTCTCGTACTTTGCTGAGAATGTACTGACACTGTACCTCACCTTTGGACTGCTCGGTGGAATTGGCTTTGGTTTTGTCTTCCTCCCTGCCATTGTCACCGTCGGTCAGTACTTTGACAGTAAACGAGCAACCGCAACTGGAGTGGCTGTCTGCGGATCAGGTGAGGATGAGCAGGATGAATGGGTGATCCAGTGATCCTCACACACTAACACATTGCAAACAGGCGTCGGCACCTTTATTCTACCTCCAATCATTCAGCTGATAATCAAGAACTTCGGCTGGCGCGTCTGCATCCTCTGGATGGCGGGAATAACACTTCTTTGTGCATTCTTTGGCTCCTTCTTCAAGTCGCTCACCCGGGTGATTGAGGTACCCGAAGAGGAAGACACCAAACAGCAGCAGCCACTTCTGCAGCGAATCAAGGCGGCACGTGCTCAGGAGTGGACGCAATCAGATGAAAATCTGAGTCAACAGGCGAACAACAAGCAGCAGACTGGAGAAAGTGCAACCGTACAAACAGGCAACGGCACAGCGGCCGCGACCAACGGCAACGTGCTGCCCCTCTCCGATGTGCTCAATATCATTCCGCTAAATGACACNAGGAGTGGACGCAATCAGATGAAAATCTGAGTCAACAGGCGAACAACAAGCAGCAGACTGGAGAAAGTGCAACCGTACAAACAGGCAACGGCACAGCGGCCGCGACCAACGGCAACGTGCTGCCCCTCTCCGATGTGCTCAATATCATTCCGCTAAATGACACCGCCGCTGGAGATGTCTCGAAGATGTCTTCCTCCAAGGGCAGCAGCATTGCCGGAGGTGGCAAAGGCGGCGCTGCCGGCGGCGACAGTAATCTGCTCTCCACGCGAGGACGCACGAGGAGCGAGCGGCGGAACACACTGACGACGCGAGATGAGATGATGTACAGTAACCTCAGCCTGGTCGTGCCGCCACCCAATCGCTCCATCTCCAGTCTCAACCTAAACCAGGTGGAGAGTGGCGGTGCTGGCGGTGGCGGCGGCGAGGGCACCACTGGCAACGCCGTCATCGACGATCTGCTGAACAAAGGCTGGACTTTGGTGGATGAGCCACGTGGCTTCTTTGCAGGATTCAACCTGCTCCTTCTGAAGCGGCCCTCATTCATCCTCCTCTCCATCAGTGGCTTTCTTTGTCTGGTGGGCTTTTTTATTCCCTTTATCTATATCAGCGACCGGGCTAAACTGTTGGGTAAGTGCACCGTTGGGGTGGCAACTAGTTGCTAAGCACACTTTCACCATCATCTTTGTCCATTCACTCTGACAGGCTGTTCACCTGAACAGTGTGCCTTCATCCTCTCCTGCATCGGTGTGGCAAACACCCTGGGTCGGGTCTTTTGTGGTTGGGCGTCTGACAATCCAAGAGTGAACGCCCTAGTGATGAACAATTTGGCTTTGACTGTGGGAGGAGTGGCTACCATTCTCTCGCCTATTATCTTCAACACGTACAATACTTTAATTGCATATGCAGCCATCTTTGGGTTTTCTGTTGGTAAGAAGGAGGCGGTTGTTGCGAAGTGATGTTTGATGATTGTACAAACTTTAACTGATTGTCTGTCCCTCTGTACAGCGACCTTTGCTACGCTTCGTTCCGTTATCACAGTAGAACTTCTTGGTTTAGAAAAGCTCAACAGTGCCTTTGGTTTGTTGCTGCTCTTTCAGGGACTTGCGGTGACCATTGGCTCTCCCATTGCAGGTACTACTTTGTGCTGATTCAGTTTGATAGCATTAATCATTTCAATATTCACTCTGATTAGGATGGTTTTACGACATTACTGGCTCTTACGACTACTCCTTCTACCTTTCTGGGGCGGCCATTGCACTGTCTGGTGCCATGTGCTATCCACTCAACGCGATTGCCCGGTGGGAAAAGAAGATTTTCAAAGAGGAGGAAGAGGTGCAAGCTTAATTATTGCAGTCAACTATTTCAGTCATGTAGCCAACTCATCCCATTTTCAGTTTCAATTGTGACTATTTACCTTTTCTTTACCAAGACTTTTGCAAATATACAAAAACCTTTACAATTTTATTAATAAACAAATCAAAATTTTTAATATAATCATGTAAATGTCATATGAAAAATAAACATTTTAAAAACAACAACGTTTTATAAAAACAGAGTACAAAAAGAGAACAAAAGTAACTGGTGTTACCTGAACCATGTAATGATCATTAGAAAAATTGCGAGCCTAATTATTAAAGAAACATCATATAATATATTGATTGCCTAGGTTTGGACCCATAATACAAGAAAAAGAATGGTAAAAGGAAATGCAAAAGTAGAAAACTGACTGGAGAGCATGAAAGCAAAGGAAGGGGAAAATTGGCAAAGGCAAAGAGGCGTTGCGGTCCAGTCCAACAGTTGGTGACTAGTCCTCTTGAGAACAGAAGAAAAGCTTTTGCGTGATGGTGGTGAAGGAGTCTGTTGGGGAAAGAGAAAGAAATCGTGAAGTGGTAGGGCAAGTAGGGCAAGAATGACAGGGATGGGCGACGAGAAATGACAACACTTACTGATGAGTTTGTTGTACAGCCTTGGCTTTGACTTCCACTGTACGGTGAGAAAGTAGATGGGCACGCCGGTGAGGGTGATGGCGACGCCGATGCCCGTCTCGTAGGGGCTCACGTAGAAGGGCAGAAGGACGAGGAAGAGACAGGTGATGAAGAAGACGATCGGAAGGAGGAGGTTCACTTTGATGGGCCGCTCGAGGTTGGGCTGAGTGTAGCGCAGCCAGAGGAGGGCGCCCACCGAGGCGGCCACAGCCAGCGATTCGATGAAGGCGGTGTAGTTGATGAGCACGTAGATTTGCGTCGTCGTCAAATACGACAGCGACAGGATGCCCTAGTTACAAAGAGAAGCCGATTTACTTAGTCAGTCTTTGGGTGCTGCAGCTGATTGTGGCGATTGTGCCCCCTTTGATTGCAGTGTGTGATCAGAGGAGCAATCGACCGATTGTGGCACCGGCCACGAATGATTATTTGGTGGCCGGTGCATCGAACGCCGCTGAACTACCAACAGCAAAGGCGCGCTCACGTTCAACACGTTCTTTTTCTAAAGTATTGCCGCGTCCAGTGTGCGTGCATTGAGCAGTCAGTCAGTCGCCTGTATACTGGCGCTCGATTATCATCGCAATGCAAATATTAATAATTGCTATCACACTAGCATCGCCAGAAGTGACAGAGGCCAACACTGTATACAACTCGGTTTTGTGCAACGCATTGTGATTGCCAATTGACGCAGCATGAGAAAGAGATAAGCAGTGGCAGAGTGTGAATTTTCGTCAAGCGAAGTTTTGAAATACCATATCTCTCTTTCTCGCTGAGGATTTCGAGACTTCGAGGCGTACTTACCAGAAAGACGAGACTGGGAATGGGTGTGAAGTACTTCAGGTTTATCATCGCCAGCGTCACTGGCAGATGGCCATTTCTAGCGCCCACAAAGAAAAGCCGAGAGGAGGCAAAGATGCCGCCGTTCAGACCGCCAAAGGTCGACAGTGCCACCGAGAGGGGCATTATCCAGGAGAAGCTGCCCAGCATTCGGTTGCCAAAAGTGACTGCCACAGCGTTTGAGGACAGCAGCTCAGCGGGCGTCAGTACGGTGAAGTAGGCCACGTTTGCCAGAAGGTAGATGATGGTCACCATGGGCAGGGATATGTAGATGGCTCGAGGTAGATTCCGGAACGGGTCCTTTAGCTCTTCGGTGACAAAGTTGAGGTAGTTCCTGGAGATGAATAAGATTGTTAAAAGGCAAATGGTAATGCGTGCGAAGTACATTACCAGCCAGCATAAGAGAAGAGACCCGAGTAGAATGCCAGTGCAATGTGCCCTGGAGAGTTAGTGGTGCCCTCAAATGATTTTGGATAGCTCAGGTGTTCGTACCCTTGGCCTCGGTACAGCTGAAGGGCGCCACAGCCGACAATGAGCAGCAGTGCGACAATTTTAGCCATTGTAAACCAGTCCTGAATTCGAGTTGACCACTTGACATTGTAGCAGTTGACAAAGGTAAGCAACACTGAAAAAGGTAGATTTTGGGAGTTAAATTCAGAGGAAGCAGATATTTGAAATGTTCTAAATTAAGCTGTGTGGGAAGAAGCATCTTTAGCTTCAAAATCACAAGACGAGATTAGAAAGGACTTGCTCAGATAAAAGCACTAGTGCTCAGCAGATGAGGCAGATAAGGGTGCACTTGCAATTGCAGTGGTAGTAGTAATGGAAATGGGCGAACTCACGTATGACGGCGGCGGCAATCAATCGAACGGCGTTTGGCGATGGTTCACTGCAGTTCGTTAGGATCGCTTCGAGAATATAATTGGCAAAGGTCATTGCGGCGATCGCATTACTGCACGGATTGATGATAAGTAGAGCCACCCATAGAAATCTAAAGGATCAAAGATGGAAAAGAGAAAAACAGAGAGAGAGCAAGGTGATTAGTAGGATGTTCATGAAATTGGCTTCAAGTTTCAGAGTGCCGACAAAGGTGGCGGTGGCGTGGTCGGGGCGTATGAATGTGTGGGTTCAGGCCAAGGCGAGAGAGTGCCGAAGGTGGCATTGTCCGTCTTTGGTTGATAGCACACATGTTCCCCTTCCTCTGCAGTGTGACTGTTCGATTACGGCAAAAGGGGAGAAAGATTGCGCCTTTACACACTAACTGTCCCACAGACAACATCAGACTGACTGACTGGCTAACTGACACATGACTGCCTGTCAATCGATCGATGCCTTCAGAGCTTCACTTGGCAGACAACTACAAGCAATTACCAGTTGGTGCAATTATGTGATCCACACAAGATACTCCTCGTGATACACTTTTAGATAAACGCTGGTACATGATTCAATGACGCAGAAACTGAACATAGCTGAACACCGTTTTATGTGTCTCTAATTGAAGCCAAAGAATGACCAGTCAAAGGGGGATGCGAGCTAATTACCATTGCAAATCGAAAAGCTGCAACTGACTACTAAATTAAGCCATAATGAGCCACTAGGCGACAGGTTGCGTCGATTAAGTGATGGATGGCACTGACAGGCAGACACCAGCACGTATACACACCGAAAGCAATATTACGAAGGACCTAATGAACTGTCAAACACCCGCATAAAGAGGGGAAAAAAGAGCGGATGCCGCCAAATGACCAGTGATATGGAAATGAAAGAGCGCAGACAACTACTGTGTACTCAAGGGTGAGATGATCACTGATCAGAGTCAACTGACATCAATTGTTTTATTTAGCAATTGATGCCCAAGGCAAACTGACTTCTCTGTGCAAGTGTTAGTAACAATTGGTCGTTCTGTGAATCTAATGTGATTTAAACAAAGAGGCCCTGTCTAAGACAGAAGATTGTAGACTGAAAATAAAAAAGAATGACCGTGAAAAAAATAAAAATATCACAGCGGATGTCTACATAAATGTTACTTACAGAAAGGCGGGCATTGGGCCGAATGCCTCTCGGATGTACGCATAGTCGCCACCTGACTTGGGAATAGAAGTGCCCAGTTCGGCGTAGCAGAGTGCGCCCACAGTAGAGAGCAAACCGCAGAGTACCCAGATGATCAGAGAGACGGCCACTGAGCCCGATTCTTGGAGGACGCCACGAGGGGACACAAAGATGCCACTGCCGACGATGACGCCGACAATGATGGCGACTCCATTGAGCAGACCGAGCTCCTTCTTCAGTGCCACCTGACCATCATCATCGTTGATGCTCTCCCGGCTCACTTTGTGACCATTCTTGCCATTCTTTTCAGGCATGCTGGAGAATTATTGATGAAGTGAATGAGTGCTGATGGTGATGGTGTTGATGGCGAAGATGAGGAGAAAGAGGAAGAGAAAGATGGTAGTGGTGAAGATGATGAAGGTGATGGAATGGAATGAGAAGAACGAAATGGAATTAGCGGAACGACAATGACGAGGTGCAGTTGTGGCAGCACGTGATGGTGGCATGCAGTGCAGACTCGAAGAGTAGATTGACAAACTTGCAAGTGACGACTACCAGACAGACGGCGAGAGACCGCCGTTGATACAATCGACGGCAGACTATCTCTCTCTTCAATGGCTCACTGGTTCGCGCAAAGGCAGATGAGTGAGAGAGAGACTGATGCTTCTCTTCAACAACTGTTGCTCCTGATGCATTCAGCTCTGCAAGTGCTTGTTCAGGCAGCGCTTCTCTTTTGTTGTTGGGTTTGTGGTACAAGAGGCGATCGGGCGACTGCTGACTACTACTGCAAATGAACTGGCGCAGTCAATGAAACACACACTGGCAACCACCTTACGAATTGGCACTATGTATGTGTGTTGATAGGAGATAGAGCGCGTGTAGCAGAGTAGTGCACTACTGGGAGAGGGAAAAAGCAGTGTTTCAGTTGCAGCAGCACCACGGCGACGACAGTCTTTAACTTGCTGCAGCTCAATGGGCGTCCAGTGTTGGAATGAGAGTCAGAAGAAGAAGTGTACTACTGCTGATGCTGTTGATGGTTGTGGCTGCAGATGTGCTGTCTGTGCTTTACGTGTGCGGCTCTCGCTTGCACGTTCGAAATGCGTCTAGCGTTGCCGGGAAACAAAGGAAGAAAGGGAAAAATGAAGCGACGAGGGTGTTGAGCGTACTGCACTGAATGTGAAGATGAAGAAAGAAGAAGAAAAAGCTAAACACAGGCGACGGCGATGCGTCCTTGAACTGCGTCGATTCAAAACTGAACTGCTCGTAGTCTTTAAGGGAAAGAAAAAAGTCCTGGTCGTGGTGGTGGTGGCGGTGGTGATTACTCGTGCTCCTTCGCTCCTTTGCCAGTGTTCACAATTTGTTTCTCTTGCATATGTACTGATCGAGTCTGTTGTTGATGGCAGGGATGAGTTCGGTGCTCTGGTCGCGCGCGCTAGACTTCGGACACTGCGAGCAGACGGTGCAGGCAGTCTGTCTCTCCTTCTTTCCCTTCAGCTCCCGCCTCCCTGCAATCCTCCTCGTTTCTGCCGCCTCTGTCACACACACACAGTATTGATGAAATCGAATAGGTTTACAGTCAAAAAGAGATCACACTTGAAGTAACTTGTTCGAGCTGGTAGGTCTCGACCGACGTCAGTCAGAGCAGTGATGTTGTGTGGTGTGGTGTGTTTGCTGGAATGGATATTACATTCATGCATAGACAGTGGTAATTATCGGTGCTGGCTGATGCAACTGCCCAGATGAATTGCCAGCTTACTAGCGGCACTTGTTGTCGGGGTACTTGAATCAAAGAGTATGCCAATGACCGAATGATTGCCTTCCAGAGTAAAATTCAGACAACTTTCAAATGGAATAGCCTCAAACCGTGGTAGAGCAGTGTAGAGGTGTAACGGGGAATGATGAGTTTTGATGACTTCAAAAGTGTCGCAAAATAAGCAGCATGGTTTCGCTGCCGTTTCTGTACTAACTGCATTTGTCTAGTCACTGCCACACTGATGTGCTTAGCAGTGAACAGACATGCTGCACAACACAGCTGGGATCAGTAGTCGAAGAGACAGGAGAGAGAATGAAAGAGAGTATGGTAGCAAGTGCTTGCTAATGGGGTGTCGTACAGCAGAAGGATGCCGGTGTGTCACTCTGTGGTTGACACACTGTGAACGATGCTAGAATGAGCTGCGCAGCACTTCGGAAGAAGGAGAAGAAGGTGGCGGTGATAGATGGATGTACTGTACAGTGTTCTGCCTGTCTGTGTGCAAGCTTCTTGCCAACTTCTTCTCCGATCGTTCACGTCAAAGTAGTGCTGCTTAATTTGTCAACTATGCGTAGGACAGAAACACTTGAAGACGGCAACAGAGAGGCAACACAGCACCCGCAAGATGCACTGAGAGAATTTGAGAGTAGTCGATGCTTGCTGTCGATTCCATAATGCCGCATCAACACTGCCAACAGCTTCTACAGGCGAACTTTCTTTCTGGTTTGCCTAGCTGGTGCGACTCGACAGAGAAGACAACAAGCAAACCTAATTGAAGTGTAATTGGCTGAAACGAGCCACCAGCAGCAACAGCCACCAGAGACGCCAGCAGGATGTTTGCATTGGTCACATCACTGACAAAGGGCGATCAAGTTAACACTGACTGATCGAATGTGCCCGCCACACACTGCTGTGCTGCTGATGAAGCCAGTGCAACTGCAGTGGTGTGGCTGCACTGGCACACTTTGAACTTGTCTCCACTCAGATCTAGTTGGCGGCCAGTGCAACAGGTGGCGAAGCCTATGCGAAGTTGTTGCTTTTGAAATCGTTGAAGATCACTGGCGGGAAAGTGTGGCCCACTGTTGACAGTGCACTGACTGCCCTGACCACTTTAATTGGTCCGCCAACTGCCATTGACCACTGGGAACACTGATTGACCAGCATAGGACGAGGAACGTAATTAAAATGTTTCCACTTGTGTTTTGTATTGCCCAATCAAACAGCTGATAAATTTTTCTAACCTATATAATAAAAAGCCGACAATTAGGCTATAAAATGGCTACATCGTTTATTGCCATTCTAACCAACCTACACATTGAGTCAGTGAGCAATGACCAAATATGTCAAATAAATTAAATGAAAAAAAGTGCGCCCCTTTAAGCACTGCCAGTGACATTGGGACAGTCGTGGTGGTATTCGAATGCATTTGATTGCGCGCAAATCAGCCAGACCGAGAAGGCAAAAGCGGTGGAGCGTTTCAGCAACAGCCCTTCTTGACGACAGGACTAGAAGAGTGGTGCTAGCCAGCTAGACTATTTGACGGGGAAGACTCTATTCACGCAGAGAGAAGACAATCGAAGTAATGGAATGGGCCGTTTTAGTAGTGCTACAGTGTGGTGTACCTGTTCCTCCTTTCTCCATTCTGCACACTTTGGTGTGCCTTTTTTGGCGCGACCGTCTTTGGCGCCTTTCGCTTGTGCTGGTGCAACGGCACAAGCCTGCAGACAGGCGGACAGGCGCTACCAGCAGACGTTGCGCGCGTGGCGACATCGACCCAACGTTGATGCACTACCACTGATGCACACTACCACAGCAACACTTCGCCGCATATTACTAATGACGCATCTTCAGCAGTGAGCAGAGTGAACAGACAGACAGTGTCGTCTCCAGAGATACAATAATTACAAGGATGACAATCTCCTCCTTTTGCGCGCAAAATCTTCTGGTGATTTGTGTTAATCAGAAAAATGTGAGCAGGCTGTCATGAGGAATGCGTTCAATTCTGAGTTTGTGGGCCAATTCGTAGTAATAGTAGTGGCCACCACTTCCGATTGAATATAGTCTTGAATGTGCAGTTGTCACCACGAAAGAAGAGAAAGTGAGTGGCGAAAGTTCATTGAGATTCGCGGTGTGAGTGCGCGCGCTCATTTGTTCAGTCTTAGGTCAGTACTACAACTGGCACAGGTGGTGCTTCCAAGCAATGGTGCACTTGTGAGAGAATTCCAGTGCACAGTGAGCACTGACCACTGCACACAGAGGTGTTGATGTTTTACGCAGAGGACAGAGGGAACCACAATTCTTCGATTCAGTGCCTGCTCCTAAGAAATTTGTTACCAAAGAATGCTTAGGAATTGATTGCCAGAGACTGGTCAGGGAGGCGCCCTAACCTTAACCCTTATCTTCGCTTCTTTTAGACCGGTATTATGCAAAGAGAGTATATGTGTAGATAGGTGCTGGTGATAGGAGCAGCCACTGGACAGGGTGGCAGTCAGGGAGGAAGGCAGGCAGGTAGGTAGAACGCGATTTTTCATTCGATGGCGCGCGAGATAGATGCACACAGCTGACTGAGTTGGCGCGGACACAGTTTGCGCGCCTGTAGTCTGCAGCGGCAGTGTTGTTTTGGCGCACTCCAGTGCAGACGGCTTAGGAAGCGCTCTCTCTCACTCTCTCTCCATTTTGCTGGCAGTGTCGGCAGAGGCAGTGTGTGTCGTCTGTTCTCTGCGGCGGCTGCTGTTTTCGCGGCTATTCCCGGGCTCTTCACCCTCGTAGGCCCAGAGACCAGAGGACCTCTCTCTCTATTTCTCAGTGGAGTCACTGTCCCTGCTGAAGTCAATCGATGTCAGCCAACTACAGCAGTCCAGTGGTTCATTTGTTACTCCACTCTCCTCTGGTTCTGGTCGTCCTTTGAGGCGCCTTTCTTCCTTCCGTCCTTTTCAACGACTTTCTCCTCACCAGTGTTTGATGTACACATTTTCCGGTGGATTCAGTTTTTAGCTCCAAACTTTGTTTAACAAAAGTATCATGTAAGTACCGAACTTTGATTTGTGTTTTCTTAGAGCTCATCATTTACACAATTGTGAACTTTTACCTCACTACATCAGGTCTTCAAAAAGGTGGAAGCGCAATTCACTTGCAGAAACAAAAAGGGAACCAAAACAAAATGTTACCAGAACAAAAAGAAAAAGCGATGTAAGCAATCATTTTTTATAGTATTTTGAAACTTCTATTTACACCTTTTGTTTTCTCTTTCCTTTCCAGGAGGCTTTCTATAGCGAGCCGAGCACTAGTAGTCATCAGAAGAAGAGTCCTCTTAAAACGAGCATACAAGAGAATTGTTTGACGCCGGAAAAGAAGTCCAAGCGACTCAAGCCATCGAAGGAGGACTATGAGAATGTACAAATCCAAACAAGCATTGAACTGACACCCTGCAGCTTGATTGCTTCATCCTCATATCAGCATCCCACATTTCTGCCGGAAAACATACCCTTACCCCAGTTTGAGTGGGCCAATTCCACCGAAGTCTGGAGGATGATGGTGAAGGCAGAGGAGTACTACCACCGAGATGCAGACATGTTTGGGCGACACCCATCCTTGCAGCCTGTGATGCGTGCCATGCTCTTGGACTGGCTCAATGAAGTCTGCCAGGCGTACACCTTGTCTCGCCAGACCTACTACCTGGCGCTGGACTTCTTTGATCGGTACTTGTCCACCAAAAGAGACATCTGCAAGAAGCGGCTCCAACTGTTGGGGATCACCTGTCTGTTTATTGCCTCCAAGATTGAGGAGATTTTCCCTCCCAAGCTGGACCGCTTTTCCTTTGTCTGTGATGGTGCTTGTGATGATAAGGAGATTCTCGCCAAGGAGCAACTGGTTCTGAACACCCTCAACTGGGAGCTCTCGCCACTGACGCCCAACTCTTGGCTCAATGTTTACATGCAAATCTACTCAAACAATGTGCTAAACAAGCCCTGCGACAAGGAGAACGCGCCTGATCTTTCGAGCGGAGAGCGCTTCCTCTTTCCCAACTTCGAGTCAAAACTGTTTGTACAAATAGCTCATCTAATCGACCTTTGCACCTTGAACGCCGGATCGCTGGCGTTTCCCTATTCTGTGATAGCTGCTTCAGCCTTTTACCATTTCACCAATGAGGATGTTGTTCTTCAGTGCACTGGTAAGAACAAGAATGACGCTCTTTCTTTCGTGGAGTATACTTAATTGTCTAATGTTTGTTTTCTAGGAAAAACAATGGAGGAAATGAGTGCCTGCATCGAGTGGATGATTCCCTTTGCAATTGCCATTAAAAATGAAGGACTCGAATTTGTCGACAAGCTTCTTGAAGACTCCTCGGACAGGTCGATCACCATTCAGAGTCATACTGTCAATCTTGATCTTCTGGTAAGTGGTACTCTTTTAAACAGCATCAATAGCATAGGCTAACTAAAGCTAATAAATTACCCTCTTTGTGTCTACCTACAGAAAAGCGCGCAATCCATCCAAGCGGAAATCGAGAGCAATAAGATGGCGCCTTTGGACTCTTCTGATACCGGAGTCGAAACGGGCACAAGCACTTTGACGCCCTCAAAATTTCCACCCACTCCACCTCGATCATAGTGTGCTACCTTAATCACCGTCCACCCCTAACACATCTACCATAGTCAAATCGAAAGTTACACCTTTAGCGGTTTCAGCCGCGTCTCATCACCGACTTCAGTGACACTGAGTTTAAAGCAGGCCATTTTTTTACTGTCGATTTAATGTAATGGCTTTTATATTTTTTTTATTTAATTTTAACAATAAACTTCTTTACTCTTTATTTGCCATCCGACTGGCCTTGAATTTGGAGAGGGGTCTCTGTGGAAGGGACTGTGCTGATGAGGGGGTACCACTGACGAGAGAAGGCAATGCACTGGGAATGCCCGCCGATGACAGTGGCGCGGAGACGGCTTTCGCGGGCTCTGCTCTCTCCGAGATACTCAGGCCAGCTAACTGTTGCTCGGCAGCCACAGCTGTCGGACTTGGCTGCGGCGGCGGTTTTTGCCGCGCGTCGCCGCCTTGCGAAATGGCTTCCACTACTTCGCCAGCCTTGGCTTCATTTCGTTCATGCTTGGCCAATACTTGATCAATATCAATGTGTGCACCCTGGCGGGCAGACTCTTTGCGATGTTCTTGCACTCGTTGCCGGTGCTTTACCTTCCACTGCTTTAGCTCCTCTTCGGTCCACACCTCGTTGATGTCTACTAGACCGCTCTCCGCTGTCGCTTTCACATCTTCGGTCACGTTGAGCCAATTTTCGAGCATCCTTTTCTGCGTCTCTAGCTCCTGAATTTTCTCTTTGCAAAATTTTATTCTTCTATCCACAAATTCTGTGGCTTCTTTTGTTGATTTCTCTGCAAAGTAGTTTTCTCCTAGTAGAACTAGTACTTCATTAGTGTGGTGGATGTACCCAGGCATAAAGGCCATCTTTGAACCGGCAATGGGGACCATTATTTCATGACTGGTCTTGTCGGCAAGAGTTGTCAGTCTATCTCGAAGACATTGGTAGTCGGTGATGTATTTGGTGAAAAGCTCAATGTTTTGAAGACAGCCTTCTAATTCGGCTCGTTCACGCTCATACAAAACTCCATAAGCGTTGGCAGCATTTGGCGGCGTCTTTTGGTCCATTGCTCACTCTGATCTCCGGGAAATGATGAGAAGGTAAATGATGCACCGTTTATCGTAACCAAAGAAAGTGCTTCAAAAAATAAAAAGAGAAAAAAGTTTGTTTTGAAAATCGTGCCGACCGTTGATTCGTAGACGACGTTACCGATCCACATGTTTTTCGGAGTGAACAACATTCATCTTCAGGCTGAAGCACCGGATTCTGCACTGGCGGTGGTCATATTTCGGTGGTCTAATTGTCTGAACCAGTTGTTTGAAGATGTTTCGGTCTCTACTATCAACCTGTAACCAACACTGGCGTCGGAGGGTGTTTGGGAGTCCGGCCTTGTTGACACAAGCTTCTCCGTATCAGTTTCAGTTCACCAACCCCATTTTCACCACGTCAATTCAGTCGGCCCAACGCTCGGCACCGACGAAGAAGCGCAGGAAAACCTATCCCTTTCATTGGTTGCCTAGAGCGGAGGTGACGAACAGCTACAAAACGTACTTGACGCCGGAAAATGTAAAGTTCGTGGATGATGTGGTCAATGAAAAGTGCTCCCTTAAACCTGGCCAAAGTCCACTGAAGGTGGAGCAGATGGAGCGAGGCAGCTACGAGCCCGGCTCAGTTCGTTGCGGAGTGATTGCCCGCAAGATTGGCCAGTACCCAATGTGGACCAAAAGTGGTCAACGCCTGCTGACGACTGCCCTGCAAATTGTCGATAATCACGTTGTGTCGTACATAAAAAATGAAGATTTTGTCCGAACGCGAAGACCATTCTACAATTTTCACAACTTCAAAGATCTCGACGTCCTCGTTGTAGGCGCCGAAAGTGCTGACCCTCGCCAGTATCCACTCTCGTACCTGGGCTTATTCAACAAAGCCAACATACCGCCGAAAAAGAAGCTGACGCGTTTCTTCATCACACCCAATGCAAAGCTTGCGCCCGGAACTCCACTGAACGTTAGTCACTTTCGTCCTGGCGACTACGTCGATTGCTGGGGAAAGACTCGCGATTGGGGTTTCCAGGGAGTGATGAGGCGATGGAACTTTAAAGGTCAACAAAAACATCGAGGCGTCACCAAAGCGCATCGTCGTCCCGGAACCATTGCCAGCGGTCGCAAGCTTATGGGCCCTCCGAAGGGCAAGAAAATGGCCGGTCACATGGGCAACGAGCGACGAGTGCTGAAGGGCCTTAGAGTTTGGCGCATCAACACCAAACACAACGTCATCTGGGTTCAGGGACCTGCCGTTCCCGGAGTAGTAAACTCCTGGGTGTACATCTACGACTCTACACTCAAGGAAAGGTACGTAAATTAGATTCTTTTGCTGTACCGAACTAATTTGTTTAATCTTGTTTCAGACAACACACTGCAGAGGACCACCCTCCGTTCCCGACTTACTACCCGGATGAGGAGAAGCAGGAGGAGTTGCCAGAGAATCTGTACGCCAAGGAGCTTCATGCATTCGACGACCCGTCGCTTCTGTTTGAGGAGACCGAAGAGGAGAAGAAGGCTGCTTTGGCTGCGCTGAAAATGTCAAAGAAGGCCAAGATTGCCAAGATTCGATAGTTTGTTTGTCATTTTCTCACACCTCTTGTACAATATGAAATCAGTCCTCAGTTATTTACAATTTATTAGTTAGGGCAATAAAAGATCTTTTATTTTAATTAGCATAATACGCTCTAAGCATCATTACTCCTTTTATAAACAGAATTGCAAAGTGGTTAGAAAACGACGACAGACCTACTTGCGAGGTGCCATGTTGATGGAGTCTAGGTGGGTGGTCTCTTCGAATTTGAGGCCCAGGTTGGCAATGTCCTTGTCGCTCTTAACGCCGTACACGTTTCCCACTCGATCCATGTCCTCTTGGAGCTTCTTGGCGACCTCGGCATTGGCGTCCACCAGGCCATTTGAGGCGCTTTTCGCCTTGGCCGAGTACTCGCGGATTTTGTCAACAAACAGCTTTTGGATCGGGTCGTTCGCCTGGGCGGCGGCGGCGAATGATCGGACGACCATCGTCTTGGGCACAACGACGGCCAGTTGGCGGAGGGCAAGCATGATGGTGGAAGATTGGTGATTTGGAAGCTGGTGTCAAAGAACAGAAGATAATAAACACTCGAAGAGTGATGTGCACGCCAACCAGACTTGATGCCGACTCTACTGCAAAAGCAGCAGAAGCAAAGATTCGCTGTGACCTTTGAGCACGTACACAGAAGACGTACGGATTTTAGACCGATTTAATCTCTGAATCTTTACTTTATCTAGGTCCTTTAACTCTTCAAAACACCTATTTAACTTTACCAATTTAAAGGAACAAACAGAGTCAACCAGCCAAGGTCATTGGTAGAAGCGTCGGTCAGGCTGTACAGTTCCATCTTCCTATTCGAATTGTTTTGCCTGCTGACTGGTCGTGTTTGTGTGTGTTATTGCTGTGGAGTCTCTCCTGGCCGCAGAGATCACTTTCAGGTTGTTTTCTTCGGGTTTCTTGTCTCATCCTTGCCGCCCACTATGGCCTCCATCCGACTCCTAACGCGCCCGATTCTTGCCCAGCTGGCTTCCAAATCTGGCGCACTATCGCGACCAGCTACCGCTGTGGCCGTCCACCGTCTGTCGGCTCGTCTCAACTCTACCACAACGCCAACAACAGAGGAGCCGAAGGCCGTGAAACCGCCGCAATATTATCCGATTGACGAGAATAAGAAGAAGTCTCTGACCGACTTTGGCCTCTACGTTGCCGAGTGTTTGCCCAAATATGTGCAAAAGCTGCAGATGACCCACACTGGTGAGTTGGAGATTCTCATCGCCCCTGAAGGAGTCGTCCCAGTGATTGCCTTTCTGAAAGATAACCACGCGGCTCAGTTCACCAATCTGTCAGACATTGCCGGAGTGGATGTTCCTACTCGAAAGTACCGCTTCGAAATTGTCTACAATCTGCTCTCCATTCGCTACAACTCCCGCGTTCGAGTCAAAACGTACACCGACGAGCTGACTCCCATTGATTCAATCGTCTCGGTGCACAATGCCGCCAACTGGTACGAGCGAGAGATCTTTGACATGTTTGGCGTTTTCTTCCACGACCACCCGGACTTGAGACGAATTCTCACCGATTACGGTTTCGAAGGTCATCCATTCAGAAAGGACTTTCCCCTCAGCGGCTACTATGAGGTTCGTTGTTCTAAAGAAGTCAACTCATTTGATTACTAATTCGCGTATTTTTGTTTCAGGTTCGCTATGATGACGATGTGCGGCGTGTGGTCATTGAGCCGCTGGAGTTATCTCAGGAGTTCCGAAAGTTTGACCTTCAATCGCCATGGGAAACCTTCCCGGCTTACCGTGAAACCAACCCAGTGACTGTAATTCCTCTTCCTGAGAGCGGCAAAGAGCCAGAGAAAAAGTGAAGCACCTCCTACACAATTCACAAAGTGTTTCTTTGAGATAAAATAGTGCTCTTGTTGTATTTAAATTTCAATTGTTAA